AGGAAATGCAGAAACAATGCTACGAAAAGTCCTTGATAGGAACTTTTGTTTTTTTAGGATTCTTTGGTTTTTCATTTCACAATTTTTACTAGAGCAATTTACCTGGTTGCTGGTGCGGGACTACCCTGAGCAGGACACATCAAAGAAAAATGCCAACCCTGTTTCCTGGAGAAGGTGCGCGACTCGTCGTCATTGGAGAATGATGGTGGCTTTAAACCTACAGGTTCTGTCCAAAATTTCCAGAAAAATCGAAAAATTCCACATCACTTTTAAAGAGGAACAAGATCGGGACAGGGTAACCGTAACCGATAAGCGTGAATTCATTTGCAATTTCAGTTGTTGACTGTTTTCTATCATTTATATTTTTTTTAATTTCGTGCGCACAATTACCTTGTGGATGGCGCGGGGCTACCCTGAGCAAGACACATCAATGAAAAGTTTGAATTTTCCCGCCTTGAAAAGGCGCGTAACTCGTCGTCATTGGAGAACGACGGTGGTTTCAAACCAACAGGTTCTATACAGAAGAAAAAACTATTTCAGGAGTTAAGTGGTAAAACGAGCCAAATTACGCATAGAATATTTATTCATTAAATCATTGTATGCAGAAAGTGAGTTATGTGACGGAAAAATGTAATGGACGCTTCAATGTAGTCAAGAAAATTAGTGATAAAAGGTATCGCTTATGATACTACCTGAGCTTCAAAATTATCGGGTATTTTCCGATAAATACATTGCAAACAAATGAAATTCCCGAGTCATTGTTTTCCAGGTTAAAAAATTACGAGCGTGCAGGGCGAGTGATTTTCCTGAAATCCTTGACGAGATCGTTTGTATGCAAGAAATCTCGAGGGAAATACCCGACCTTCAAAATTCATCGGATATTTCCCTCAAGCTGTTTTAGTTTAGCTGCATAGCAACTAAACTATCGGTAAATATCCCATAATTTTTTAAGGCAAAAATTTTAATCAGGTAATTTTGAACGTTTGAATATCATCCGTAAGACCTTTTGTTTTCTTATATATAAACAACAAGAATTATCAGTTATAATATCCGGAGTGCTTGAAAATTAGCGAATATTTGCCGAAAGTTGTGTTGCAGAGCAACATATGCGTAACATTTTGCAGCATCAAAACTTCGGGCCAAACTGACTGAATGCATGTTGCGTAGGGAAAATACCCGATTAATTTTCGAGCACGGGGTGTATTTGGCAGATTATTCCCTCCATTCAAATCTCGACCAATAGAAGCTGGGGTTGGACATTTTTTTCTTGATATACATTCAAACTCGACCTGCTTTACCACTTCACTGCTGATTTCATGCTTCTTTTCGGTCCGATTAGGCAACTAATCAATTCGTACCTATATACAGGCACGGGGAACCCCTGCAGAGGACACTCCATACTTGTTATTTCAGTAGTTCTCGTATCAAGCCACTCAACTTTACGATTTGCCGGAAGTTTCGGCTTCACACTCGTGCTGGGATCTGAATTAGATTCAAACCGAAGGGAGTTCTCAACATAACAATAAAATGAGGGACAGAGAGACGATAAGAAATTGAGCCAAGTCGAAACTAGTAAGAATTTTTCGTAAACTCCCTTTATCCTATCCGCTTCAGTCAGTATCTTCATATCATATTTTGGCTCGATGCCATACTCGGAGTACGATTTTCTTCGGACCCAACCCACTTAGAACTATCAAGTCGTTAAACAAGGATCTCACCTCTGCACCGGCACTGGGTATCCCTGCACAGGGCACATGAAAGTTGCTGAGGCGAATAATTGAAACTCGATCAGCTCAATTTTGCGATTTGCTGTCAACTTCGGCTTAGTGCTCGAACTGGGCTCTAAATTATTCCAATATTTCGTAGTTCAGTAAGAATTTTATTCAGTGTTAGATCTGCGCTAAGAACAAAAGTTGGTAGCGCCAATTAAATTTAGCTGAGAAAAAACCATGATTACCAATTTGTTAATAAAAAAAATCTTTTCGTGAATTGGTTATCAATTTAGAAATACAATCACAAATTTAGGAATCACCTAATAGCAAATTTGAGAATATGATTACTAAGTTGAGAATCGGATTACCAAAAATTGAACGATCTTAGGGGTCAGACAAGAGCAGGGGGTAGAGAGTATTGACCATGACAGTTCATTAATCATGGGGTCACTTCGGATTGACGAATCCCGCGTAACAAAATATAAAAAATATATATATAATATGGGCTAATTTCATATATTTGTCAAATTTATAAAAAATATATATAAAACATAGGGAAGGGTGGGGTGAAATGGAGCGGTGGGGCAAAATGGAACGGTACAAAAAACGAATATAGAGCGAAATTCAGACAACTTTTTTTTCACCTAATGTGAGCTCAAAAATGATGATTTGGAATTAGGTCAGTGACATCAGTCTACTTTGTAGTTTTCGTTATCTTGTAATCTAAGGGAGATAGGACAATTTTGGTAAGAACCTTTTTTGTAGAGAATTTCAAAGGCTATAAAAAAGGTCAGTATAAGAATTTTACTATCTTCATTGTAAAAAAGATAATTCGAGGTTAAGTCATTGACAACAGTCCACTTTGCAGTTTTTGATTAGTATCTTGTAATCTAAGGGAGATAGGAGAATTTTCATAAAGACCTTTTTTGTCGAGAATTTCAAGGGCTACAAAAAAAGTAGATATAAAAATTTCGCTATCTTCATTGGATTTCATGATATTTGGCAGAAACTGCTTGACAACTTACTCGAATTTTGATTTTGCATCATTTCATCTTCTTCCTTTTTTTCTTAGCTCGTGGGACGGAGCATCACTTTATCATCCGGTTTTCGATATTTAAATATCTCCGAATCTACAGGGAAACGAGCGAGTAAAATTTGACAAGAAATCGATTTCATGCCCAAAAAAAATAGGTTTTTTCATATAAATTGGGCCAATTTAAGATATTTTATAATATATTTTTCAAAATATAAATTTTTCTCTGAATATAAAGAAACGGATTGTGGTTAACAGGTTATACAGGTAATTGTTTTGCTTACTGTTCCTTTCAGCAATGAAAAATACGGAAATTTTGTGATTCCAACCAGGGCACTCGTAACATCTATGTCGCAGTTTTCATTCCATTCTTATCTGTCTCACTTCGGATGATGAAGTATTGCAGAGATCTCGAACCCATTTGTTCCACAAAGAAGTATTGAATAAATGTCTACAATCACTAACCGTGTAAGGGGAACGGGAAATCCTTGAGCAGGACAAGTAAGAGCCACTGAACCCCCTGACAATGTCGGTGTCACTACTTTGATATCAGCATTAAGAAACTTTGGTTTGGCGCTGGTCACAGGCTCTGAGAGACAAAATGAACGGAAACCTCTAATGACCAAATCACATATTGTGTTACCTAAATGCAGGAACTGGATATCCCTGAGCTGGGCAGCTAAGCGTGGCGACGTCTTCCATGCGCTCAATTGCCTCTAAGGTCCTAACGGAGACCCCTGAGAATTTTGGCTTGACACTTGCCATGGGCTCTACGCGAAGATACAGTTTTAATCTTCCCATATTCCCGACAAAATGGCAAAATAAAAATTACCTGAATGCTGGTACGGGATATCCCTGAACTGGGCACAAGAGAGTCGTTGAGAAACCTGGAGAAACTGTCGGATTTGTTGACTTGACGTCCAGGGATGTCATTTTAGGTTTTGTACTCGAGACTGGCTCTAATTTATAGAAAATATTTTTATTCATTCAACTTACTTAGAAACTGGGACAGGATGTGCCTGTACAGGGCAATGAAGAGTCACGCCACGTCCTTCGATCATTTCAAACATTCTGCTCTTATCGATCGTAGAGAACTTTGGTTTAGCAAAATCAACTGGTTCTGAATCAAGATTGTAACAATGGGAACATTGAAAGAGAGGCAATAAGTCCTGTTCTTAAGGTAGTATGAGACCTACCTAAATACGGCGACAGGGTACGCCTGTGCAGAACATAACATGGTGAAGCTGCTTCGTTCCACAACCCTCACCCCAATGTCATTAATCGACGGGAATTTTGGCTTAGAGCTCGACGCGGGTTCTAAGTGAAAATAATTCCAAGCATTTTATAATTTTTTTTTTTCAAAAAGAGATGCTGGACAAGGGTCCCCTTGAAAACCACACCCATACTGTGAAAAGCCTAGTACAAAATGGAGAGCTGTGACGCGTCTCGTCAAGAGTGGCCGAGAAACAGCAGACATCAAGGATTGAATATCTATGATCTCGTATTCGCTGCACGCTTTGCACGTGTTTCTATCTACAAACAGGAGTCAGGAATTTAGACGGTGAATCCGATTACCTGTATGAGGGGACCGGGAAGCCTTGAGCTGGGCATAGAAAGGTCATCTCGCCACCGAGAGACACTCGAAAGGCTTGTGAATCAGCAAGTGATGGAAATTTCGGCCGGGCACTGGCTACAGGCTCTATAAGGACACGTTTCAACTCTCAGTAGGAAAGTAACGGAAACCGAAAGTGATGGGTAGTAAATTATTCTGCATTTGAAAAATGAGACTTACAACAAAACGTCGAAAGAGTCGAGTTAAGTTGAACAGCTATCCTTTACAAACAAATTTTTGTCTACACAATAATGTACCTGAATGCTGGAATAGGAAAGGCTTGCGCAGGACAGAACAGTGTTTGCGGTCGTTGGAGGTACACTGTGAAGTCTCTTCTCGTATCAGATATGGAGAATTTGGGTCGAGTGCTAGCCATGGGCTCTTCAAATAACAACAAATGGATTCATCAAAGAGGTTCAATTATTCCTTTACCTGAAGGCTGGAACAGGAAATGCCTGGGCTGGGCAGAAGAAAGTCAGTTGCCCATTGGAGTTGATCGAGTAGGCCCTTAATTTTTCCGTTATTGTGAACTTTGGTTTAGCACTTGCAACTGGCTCTATTTAATCAATCATACTTGAATCGTTCAGGCTAATTTTATGGTCTCTCTGTTCAATGTCAATGAAAAGTGGGAAGTTATTTGTACCTGAAAGCTGGAAGGGGATACGCCTGTGCCGGACAGAATAGAGTCAGCGCATCAGTGGATCGCACTGTATATGTACGAGAGTTCTCAGTCATTGTGAATTTTGGTTTTGCGCTGGCGATAGGTTCTGAAGTGGGAAATTTTTTAGAGATTTTAGAAAGAAAATTAAAGTATTGCGATTTAATAATCATTCCATTTCATTATTCTGCAGATATTTTCGAGAGGAAGACGTTTCGAGGAGTTCATCGGACATTTTTTGCTGAACATTCTATTGATTGCAAATTAAGTTTTCTGACATTTTCCTTCAATCCTAATAGTTTTAGGGAGTTTCGCGAAATAATGTATATGGGATTCTTAGAGTTATGAGTGATGATTTATTCTATTATTTATAGAAGTCGTCATCACCTCCTTTTAGTTTTCTTTGCTTACCGACCAGCTTGGTTAATTGTCATGTTATGTAGGTTTTACTTTACAGAAACGAAAATTCATGTAGAAAATAGGTCATCGTTGGTGACTTACTTGCTGACGGGAGCGGGGAACCCCTGCGCAGGGCATAACAAGGTCACGGAACCGTCCATCGTCGTGCGAAAGCTTCTTGAGTCGTCGATTGTCGGGAACTTCGGCCTCGCGGCTCCAACCGGTTCTGGATTTATGCCCATCGACGATAGTACCTCACTAATCTACTTCCCTTTTCTTCTTTTTTCTTATTAGCATTGTTTACGTTTACTTGCCCATATGGCGGAACGGGGAACCCCTGTTTGTCAGTGCATACCGTGCAAAAGTGTTACGAGCCTATTGAATGATGAAGCCCATTGTTCCCTAATTGCCAGTGATGCTAGATAAATAATCTTTTATATTTTACTTCTTTTTTTTCTAGATGCTAGATCTTCCGAGGATATTCTCTTGCGCGCAGGTCCGCTTTCTTTTTTTTAACTTACCTGTCATTTTTTAAATAAAGAAAATTGTAAAAAATACCCGTCAGTGGAGAGCAAGACAATAGGAGTATGGGAGCAGACTCAAGATTGGAAGGAGATCGCGAGAGCAATCGAGCGCATAGTAACCGGTGAATCAATGTTCTTTAAAAAGCGGGCGCAGAGGCGCGTGCCCGCAGGGGTACCCTGTCCCAGCATTCAGGTAATAGTCAATGAGTTTGCTCTATGCGTCATTTGAACTCAACTTTGCAATTTAAAAAGTACTTCAAGGTCGTAAATTGTAAATTGCAAGCAATACGTAGTGATTATTCATATTTTATTTGAAGATTTGATCCAAACTCATTCACTTCTTATTTTTCGTGATTTTTTCTACTGTGACAAAACAATATGGATTCTACGGCTGTATTTTGGTTTTATTATTTTCCTAAATTATTGTTCTTTTTCGTGTCTCAATTGAATTTATGTAGTCGTCACCCTCATGCGTAACCAGATGGAATCACATGGTGTGGGCATGTGCCTTTTAATCAATATTGCTTCGTCCATACATGCCTTTTGTAGGCGTTCAAAGCGTAGGTATCATGACCCACCGCATTTTTATTAATAGTTACAATGAGTAGGTAAGTTTCCAATTCGATTTTATGAGTATTTCGCTTATCTCAGTCTTTTTTTGTAGAAAAGATGAATTTCTTGGTGCGTCACGGTACCTGGATGCTATGAAGACTTCAACAATTCTTGCAACTATCGTGATTTCATGATTGATATCGATTAAAATGTGATAACTACAACAAGAATGTCCTTCTCAGCCTCCCAGACATCATGACTGTGCCCACTTTTATGTCCGTGTGTTAGTATCCCAACACACACACATTTCTCATGGCATTTCTCATGGCACTGCACGCACACACCCCCTGTACTGCTCATACTGATAATTTTAGAGGGTTTGATGCTTGAGAGGATTGAATTGGTCTTGTAATTTTTTATTGACTGTGGATCTATCAGTAATTCATCAAATTCATGGAGAATATTTGTGGTGCAAGAATTGTTGCTGTTTTATAAAATTCCTATTGGAGACTGGAGCAATGAGACTCTGACTTACCGGTGATGACAAGTCGTCCCTTGGTAGCTGATAATCTTGTTTCTCCAGTGAGCCTGTGTTTGGTTCTACACTGATAAGTTTTGTATCCGTCTTCGGGTCCAACATCCCTAATGTGCAATTCACCGGAAGGCAGCACCAAGTATTTACCATCTGTTACCCCCCACAGAAATGAGAGATTAATTTGAATTCATTTTCCAAATGATAATGAGAGTAAACGAAATGGAAAAAATAATAGATCGTTTTTTTAATCAATATGTACTTTGTAGAGTTTGAAAAATGCCACATCATTTTAAAATTTCCGGCAGATATTTCAAAATGGCGAAATATGGGGAAATCTATTCTCATAATTTTATAATTTTTGTCCTTCATTTCATTTGTGGGAAATATCTGTGGGAAATTTCAAAATGGCGTCAACTTTTTTCAGTTCACTCCCTTAATTTTACGAATATTGACCATTGAAAAAGATCTATGATTTCTGCCCTTTTATGTATATAATAGCCATGCGAGAATGGAAAAGAATGATGCGGATAAAAGTAAAAGCAAATACACACTCGAGATTAGGACATAAAGAGATTAGAGGATTATGAATGAGCGACATGGGTTTCATGCAGGTTCAAATTAAGTTTGAATGAGATAATTATGTTTGAAGTATTCCAGGTTTTCAAGGACTTGCCCCTCAACAACTCTCGAGGAATTGGGTCATCGACAAGTTTGTCGACACTCAAATGACTTTTGTCCAATTTATTGCATCTGCAATTTCCTCTTCCATTTTATAATCGTTCCAATGGAACCTCGAGAGATGCAATAAGCATTTAGTGATCAGAAGAGAAATAAAACATGGCTGAAAAATTTAATTCGAAATTTTTAACATAGTCCAATACATTTATATAATTTAAGATGAACTCTTCGAGGTTAATTTAACAATCGAAATTCTCAATTAGATGATCACCATCTTTTGTATAACCCAGAAAATTCTTTGTAAAAAGCGTTCTCTTGTTGAATTTCGTTGGCTAGCGTACGTTGACACCATTTTCCATCGTGACGCCATTGTGATTTGCAAACTTGGCGGCATAGCGAGTATCCACTATGATGTTATTGACTGAATCATTGAAAAATTCAAACCCCCACCATCAAAAATCTATTCTCATAATTTTATCATTTTTGTGCTATTGGCCCGGTTGCACCAAGCCCAATAAATTTACTAGTTTTCTTAGCGTATATGAAAATCAATTAGAAATCGCCAACAAATTATTAAAATAACAATAATAATAGTAATTATTATTATTAATTATTATTATTATTATTATTATTATTATTAAATGGAAAGGGAAGTTGTGCCTTTCGATAGACAGGGGAATTACTTTAGAAAAACTCTGGTTGTTGATCTAGTTTACCCTAGTATTTTTGTCATTTTTGTCATTTTTTTAAAATGAATTTTTATAAAAATATTTTCATTTACAATCATCAAATTCTCATATGAACCTCCGCATGAAAAAGGATTACTTTGTCGATATGGAGTTATGTATGCTCTGAAAGTAGTGATAACATTCCGCACATTTTGAGCCCAAAATGATCCTCATCGAGTCAAAAAGCACGTCGCTGCAGAAGATGAAGGACACAATTTAACATTGGTGTAAATGGGGGAGACATAAACCTGAATATCCAGGAAACTAGAATCGACAGTGGTTCCTTCTCACACGGGTGTCCACATCGATATTTCATTAGAGTAATTTCGATTGCCCTTGCGTAATTTGACTTATGTATTTTTAAATCTTATCCTGTTACAAAATTTCGAATTAATTATTTCGGTTTCAAAGGAAATGAAAATATTCATGCCGGAGCTGGCGACAAGTTAATAGTTATTAAAAATAATTTTGATCTTTAAAAACCACTTGTCGCTGACTCTCGTTTTACACCTCATTCCAACAGATGCAAAGACGTCTGCGATTTACCAACGAATGTGCACAAAAAGAGGGAAGGGAAGAACTGGGACAGCGCGAGCAGCGGCAGTCAACGTCTCAAACTCGAAACCCGTTTCATATAACATACGCGTTTTAATGATAATGGAACACAACGAGGTGTACTTTTATTCATCACTCTTGAACGTAAATCAACTAATTCTCCTCCACAGAGCGCAAAATAAACCGGAAATAATATATAGTATTACAAATATTTTGTCACATGCAGTGCTGTAAACCCGCACTTTATACACGCGCCATGTGTGAAAATTTTATATAACTCTTGGTAAATGACGTTTTTGACGATATGAACAACCTTTTGACCTAACCTTTGCCTCAGGTTGTAAACGCGAAAAACTCACACTCGGCAAAAATGTAATTTCCCAATTCGTTCGGTGAAATAGCAGTACGGAATTATTCACTTTTGGCAAGACACTTTTTGGTTTTCATGGATTTCATAGATGTTTGAAAATTTCAGGACATCGTGAAATTTTAATGTATAACAGATTTCATGAGTTATACCCCCCCCCCAACCCACCCCTTTTGCCATAAACTCATTAGATTACATATGGAAAAAAAAACGGCGAGAGACCTAAGATCGTAGGATTTTTGCCTGAGATTTACACAAGCGAAGCGCTTTGGCGGGAAAATATCGTCTTGTTTCCCGCGGAACGCAAGAAAAGATCATTTTCTCCACAGTTAATTAAGCAAATATTCAATAAGAGACAGAATATACGGTCAAAATCATGAGAATATAGGGAAAACTACTGTATTGCGTAAGACATCATCTCTTTCATAACAAGAAATAAAAAGATTACAGAAGGAACACATAAATTTATACTGGAATATAAGAAGTCTATTTTATATCGATCCATATAATATCTATTCTCCACAGCATACCTATACTCTACAATACAAATGGTTTCTGGTGTTCGCAGGGTACTTCACGTCGGAGTCAAGTAATTTCCCTATTCAATTTGAAACAAAGGGTTGAACGTCGATGTTTTTCCATCGAAGTGTACCGCGCGCGTAGATCTCAGGCAAAATACCTATGATCTCACGTTTTTCCCCCATTTCAGTTTTTACCGTGTGCTTCCTCACATCAGTAAAAAAAAACATGTCAAAAATCGAAAAAAGGAAATCGGATAATTGACCGTATTTCGAAGGGGGCTTTCTTGCCACGATCCGCTTAAAGCCAACACTTCCCTAGCGCCCCCTCCTCGTTCTACTCCACTTTGGCTAAAGGAGAATCAGGTTAAATATACGGGACACGGAGAAAAAAGTTGCGAAAAAAGTAGGGGAGACCGGGATCGATGAACAAGACAAATCTAATAAATAAATGCGGAAATTTCAATTTCTAGAAAACAATGAACTTGAGGAAAAAAATAGCTCTGAAGTCATCTTTTATCGGATATTTAATCCTCTGCAATAAAGGTCGTTTGACATTTTTTGGTAGGGGTGCTCGTTATCGTAATATTAGAAAAACAAAATTAATTTGGCGGATCACGAAATTTCAGACAAATGAATAGAAAATCGTTACAATGTACTCTTCTGTTGATGAACATGAAATTGAAGGAAAAGAATTCTCTTATGCGTACCCTATCGTGCCCGAAATTAAAAAATCGATTGATCGGGACGTTCCCTACTGATTTCAGAGTTTTTCTATCGTTTTTTAGAGATTCGACGGTGAAGAATGTGTCCTTTCCGCCCGCCGTGGCGAAAAAAACCGTGGCTTACCACCCCCCACAACAAAAGTCCAAAATGATTTTTTTTTCAATTTGGGAATTGCAGCCATGACTAGTGTTTCAGAAATTGAATAATATTATTGAAACATAAAAACTTGAGGAAGAAATGGAGTGTTCATCATTTTACCCCTTTTCGCTTTACCTCACTCCTATGACGCAGTCTTATGACTATGTGTTTGTTTTTATAACCGTCAAATGAAGTCGAAACAGTAGATTTGATCCAGTTCAACTCATTTGAATCTGGTGTCCATATTGCCCCACCCTCCCCTAATAATTAAAAGTGATGCGCGAAAACGTCCAGTAAATGACTAGTCATTTACCTCACGTCCACAATATTACCCCACCGATACTTGAGCTCTTGCTGAGGAAATGGAACGATACGCGATGCATAACGAATTAACTATTATCGCTTTATTATGTATTCTTGTACCGTAATCGGGAGCGAGGTAAATGTCCCTGGTTTCATCCTCAACCCAAGAGTCAACATCGACGAATTCGGCGACAAAGCTTGGTATGTGACACTTGATTATCGCAGCATTTCCACGTAGCACATGTTCATCCATCACGTTCACTGCGTACCGCTGCCCGACAACTGCAACCAGACACCGTTTTTCCGTCTTCTTATACGATTTTCGATAGTAGAATAGTATATTTCGTAACGAGTGCAAAAAAGTGATTTTTGGCGAGTGGGAGGTTTATATCACGAGGCGAGTGATATAATCCCACGAGCTAAAAAACATTTTTTCTCGAGTTACGAACAATATTTTTCATCACAATGTGGCGGAAATTGGACTTTTAGGCACGCGGAGCGTCCCGAAAAGTTCACTCCGAAAAGTGTTTCGTCACAGCGTGATGAAAACATTCATACAAAATAAATAGAATTTAAGAGGCTCTGAGGCAGTGGCTTTGGGAGTTTTGTTGGTAAACATTAATGCAACGTTGCATTTCATTGTACCGTAGGGCGCTTCCTCATCGTCAGCCCGGTAATTTCCACCTGCGGAATCAATCCACCCCGCAACGTCCACGTGATCTGCTACGAATGAGGGAACCTGACACTTGAATATTGCAGCATTACCACGAATTGCGAATACGTCGTATACTTGAACCTCGAAGTATTGCGATACAACTGAAAACCGAAATAATTATACTTATCAGAAGGATTTGTTTGTCGTTTTGTGTAAAGAGACCTCTGCGATGGTTATAAGAAAGAGGGAGGGGGATTGGTGTTCGTTGACAACCGCTGAGCGCGTGGCTGTGTTCAATTCAGACTTCATCTCAATGTGCCTCAAACGCAGAAGAAGAAATACATGATGAATATTGGAGAAGTCAATGAAAAAGAATATAGGATTACATTGTTTTACAAAGGAAGCTCCGGTGATATTGCGAATGTTTCGAAACTGACGGATTTTCGGAGAAAATATCAGAGGACTTCTTTTGTGAAAGAAGAAGTTGTAAATCAAAGAGGTCTTTCGACATTTTCTCCTGAATTCCCCATAAAAGTATGTACACTCCCGTGTAGAAAATCAACCGGGGATGCGGCTAAGTCTACGCTCACGGCCTCGAGCCGACCGCTCAGCCCCGGCTTGACTGTATAGCAGGCAGGGATTGAGCGGAGAGATTTCTACACGGGCAATCACTGACTCTTTTAAATTCACTCATGCGCACGACTATTTTTCTCTCTCGGTGTATCGTACCCTTTTCCTCTTGATCATTCACCCCATAACTTGTTCCATCGTTCGCGCGCCATTCGATCACATCGACAAAATCGGCGACAAAACTTGGAATAAGACACTTAAGAGTCGCTGTATTCCCCCTCAGTACGAATTCATCGATGACTCGTGACTCATATAACTGCTGAACAACTGGAAGAAGTAATAAAGGAACAAAAAAATAACCTAATTCTCGTGACGTTGATGGTATGTCGATGCTCGCTTTGTCCTTAATCAATGAAACTGAATAGATGGTAAAACTTTTTGCTGAGTAGAGGGCGAACCAACGAAGGGAATTCGATATTCTGAACAATACTAAATATTAGCGCGCACTTGATGAGCACGGATCATCATATAGATCAACGTATCTTACGAGCCAAACTTTCTGGCACTATATGTACATTAATAACAGGCAAGTAGATTCCTGCATCAAAAACAAATTCTCCATCGATCCCCTTCGTTTATTTCCCTCTTATTTTTACTCTACATCCGTTGCGGAAGTTTCTATCGTTTTACCATAGTCCCCCTCTTCGGGCCGATAAATAGTGCCATCATCTGCTGTCCACTGATCCACGTAGACAAATTCGGATACAAAACTTGGAATTTTGCATTTCATTATTGCACTATTTGCACGTATTACGTACTCGTTCTCAGCCTCGGTTACGTAGAACTGTGAAACCACTGCTCGCGCAAGTCCATTTCTTACATTAATTAATCAATGAATGATAGTCGGTAGCAAAAAATTGGCAGTGAAATGGTGTACTCCAGAGAATGAGTCAAAAATGACTTGCCCAATTATGGTATAACAATATCTCTGACAGAAAGGGATTTAAATAATAATACCAGAAATATTCTTTTGCAAAGCGTCGAATTGAGGGGAAACTATCTGATGCATTCAAGATCATTTGTATGTCTGAAACCGAATAATTAGTGCAAAAAAATTAGTTGTTTATTGTTGGCTTGCCACCACAGGCACTTCAAATGTTACAAATTCGAAATTTTTGAAAAAATAGATACAATAACAGTTACGAGTTATTTTGTGAAATTTGACTCATACACAGCTAATTTCGTTTTGTTTAATGTGAAAATTTGCGCCAATCATGTAAAATGGGCAGACAAATTATCGGTTATAATACCCCTCAATCAGTGCAATTTTTTATTAAAAAAAACAAACTGAGTTGTGTAGGAGTCGAATTTCAAAAAACTAACTCGTAATTGTTATTGCACACATTTTTTCAACAATTTAAAAAAAAAATTCGAGGCAAACGGACGATAAACAATCAATTTTTTGGCACTAATTATTATTAGCGCGAGAAATTTCATTACAATAGCCCGCGACTTTTAAAACTCATAGCAGTCTCCCCTTAACAACAGAATTTGTTCTCTGACACATTGTTGCAAACCTCCTAATTTCAGACATTGGTAAAATAATTGACCTGCAATTTTTGACTTCTCACCTTCTACCACTTCGCCAAATGATATAAATATGCTGGGTGTCCCCTAAGAGGTTGCTGAAACTGAAAGCGCCATTTTTGCCCTAACCGTTGCGGAAACAAGAACACGTTCTGAGTGATAATGAGAAAGATAACCAAAGAAAATGTTGATCTTATCAAGTGATTTTACAGTAGAGCAAATGGTGTTATCGGCTTAGAATACTTGAATTCGCCGACGGCAGTCTGGAATACCTCTCATACTCCCCCGACTTGAATTCCTTCAACTTTTTTAAAACCTAACTTTAAAGATCACTGTTATGTCCGTGTGCCAACAACAAAGAATTAATTGATCAGAGTCGTCGAATGATGATTTCGACACTTTTCGAAAATGAATTGATTGTTGTTCCAATAGCGATGGTGAATATTTCAAAAATTAGTATCACTAAAATGGGTGACGATTAATTACTCTAAAAGTACAGTAAAGAATAACCGAATGTTACAAATTCGCAGTGGACACGCTTGTCTGTTATTAAAATGTCGATATGAATAAAAACTGTACAGTTTTTGCCATCCCGATAACGATTCGATTGATTTGTAATATTTCCATAAATTAAGAAATGACTGTAGATTAGTATCAGCACCATCCCATGGGACGCCCTGCATGTCTATGACTTTGTAGAAAAATATAGATGAAATAGAGAAAAAAAGAGGATTTGAACTTTTTGGACGAGTGAGGGGATAAAGCATGACATATTTAGCGTCTGCAAACTTCTGAAAAATTGGGGAAAAATGCCTGCCCTGTTCAGACTCCGTAACCTCTGGTAGGTACACCTCTCCATCCTCACGTATCCAAGCCTCGATGCTTACAAACTCGGCAATGTAACTCGGAATACTGCACTTGAGAATCGCACTGTTTCCTCTAATGACGTATTCGGTCATTATTTCCGGTTGATATGTCTGTGCTACCACTACATAGTGTTTTTCAGGAATAATAAAAAATACCGAATGAAAAATAGAACCAGTAATAAACAAGGAGATTGAGCGCTGCCACCGCTGTTCACGTCTTCCCGAGATATTGAAAAGACTAGTATATCAAATACGGGACAAATATGTGGACTAAAATATTGGTGCGATATACCGTAATCGTCGGACGGTTTGTATTTCGAGCCATCGCTTCCCACCCAAGAATCGACGCTCACGAATTCAGCCACAAAACTCGGTATGGTGCACTTTAATATTGCTGCATTACCGCGTATCACGTATTCGGATACCACTTCTGCCTCATAGTACTGCACCACAACTGAGGAAATAAGTTGTCAACGGTCGTTGACCATATCATTTTTATTTACCAGGAAGATAAATAAAGAGTGGGTGAACACAAAATAAGAGTTAATCCAGGCGGAATACAGAGTAGAAATGATTTTATTTGTAGTATCGTTACCCTAGAGTCAAGAGGGCGTATGTTACGGTATGTTCAGTTATATTTAGACCCGCCCAACGAAGCATTAACAAGATGATTAGTTGAGTACGTTGACGCCACTGCGCACTCCCAAATTGTGGAAGGAGATATGCAAAATAATAAAACAGCTGTACCATTATCCGTGTCGAGATTGAAGGAGTTCCCTTGATCATCTTGCCAACCTACTACTTGAACGAACTCAGATACGAAAGAGGGGATACTGCATTTGAGAATCGCTGAGTTTCCGCGAATTACATATTCGTTGTTTACTTCTGATTGATAGTATTGATGGACCACTGCAAAGTTGTTTTAGAATTATCCAGATAGTAATTAAAATCTCAATGCTGTTGAAATATATTCTTCATATTTAAATGGTTTAGACCAAATTTACTAGACTTTTTAAGTTATCACCTTATTTTAGAACTTTGAAGAGTTACTGGACATTTTGAGATTTGGGAATATTTCGGGGTAATAAATCCAAACTTTCAATAAATCTTCTTCAAATAACCCTTAAGTGGTGGCATAATGAGGGAATCCCCGCCGTTTTTCAATTTTTTTTTTCCACACGAAAACTTCGTGAATGAAAAATTCATAATAGTATATTTTGATACGGGCGAGACGGAATTTTCATTAGTGTGAAGTTGATGGCCCGAGGCGAAGTCGAGGGCTGCCAATCACACGAGCTGAAAATTCCCGTCTCCCATGTGTTCAACAATATTTTTTCACAGTGATGTTCGGTTTAGCGAGTGGCCGAACTGTGCCTTTTTCGTTTACTTTTCGTTTACGAGTAAACGAAAAGAACTTTTCGGCACGAGATGAAATTTGTTTTTCTACGTTCAAATATATGGAATGTATCAACATCTTTTCGGTCCAGACTTACACTAATGAATTATTAATATGTTTTGAAAATTGGAGTCGATGTTTAATCTCAAAATCTCATAATTTTGCACTTTTTCAAGGTGAATTCCTGGATTATCTGACAACTATTATATTTCGCTCCCATACCCTCATTTCTTATTCCTTGAAAGTTCAAAATTACCTGTGAACATGAAATAAATGTTTGTTGTTCAACTTTTTTTTTCGAAATCGTTAAATCCACGGGGAGAAATATACTGCGACCACTTAAGGGTTAAAAATCTAAAAATAAAAAGCCACACGAAATGTTCCCAATGGTACAATGACTTCGCGGGGGAATGATTTTGAGACAAAACGAGCAAAGGCCTGTTTTCAATTAAAAGAAAAAAAGTATTCCACGATACTTAAAGTGATGTTGATGACCGCCGTTGTGCGCGTTGGAAACGACGATATTCGTAGCTGATTTGTCAACTACTACAATTCCTCTATAAATTCCCTTTATAAAGCGAGCTTATAATGAATTCAGTTAACCGAGTGCGATTAGTACTAAAAAAAAGTAATCATAAGGTATATTGATTCCTCAACATTCAAATAAAAAAGCCTGCACGGAGAAAAAAATACGAGAAAAATTCCCGCGCTTGTACCATGATTTAAATTCCATGCAAATACTTCTACCTGGCAACATTCATCACAAAGAATAGGAAAAATAATTTTTTTCTCAGAATTTTGCCCTCAAACTGAATAATTTTTCGCGAACATGTCCAAACTATGGGAATGTCTCTCAACATTAATTTGGAGTACGTAGCAATGCTTCATCGCCTATATCTATTAAATACAAATGACCTAAGTAAATATAATCTCAATTAATGAATTGATATTATACACCACATCCATCGCCGTTTGAAAGTCTCCATGAACTAGCATAACGACCCGAGCATGCTGGATCTTTTTCCTCTGTCAGTAAATTCGAATCTATTCTACCCATGTAATTGAATCATTGGTGCAATCTCGGTCATCCGCAGTCACGAGACAAAGTCTTATAGTCTAAAGCAATGCATATTAATTGATGGTTTCACTCCTGCCTTTTTTTTTTAAGTCGTGTCCGATTTTTATCGAGGATGAACGCTTCAATTGTCAACTACGCCATTTATCTTCGTGTCGCGATGTGGTCAGCAGTAACGGAGAATCAACTTTCCATAGTTCAACGGATATTCGATAACCCGATCAAAGTATCAATTAGCGCTATGGTCTGTAGATAAAAAAGACGTAAAAGAGAGTAACCTCTTTTCTGCCTATCATAGTGAAGACGTTGACGGCGGCTTCTCGAACATTGCAAGGAAATTTACGCTTTTTAATGCAGAAAAAAACGTCTTCAAGAGTATTATTTCTGATTTAAGAATTTTTAAAATGGAATTTCAATGACAATTCATTGCATTCTGAGTAAGCTTTTCTGAAATTAAAAAAAAACCTTGCAAACTAACAGACTTTCAGAAATCCAGCGGTAAATATAATTAGCCGCCTGAGTTGAAATTCCGCTCAGGCCACCTGAAGTCGGATCAGAAGTGAATCCGTCTGTAGTCGGATTCGACTGATTAGGTGAAACCTGATCATAGATGGTCGAAAACTGATCCAGTGCTTCTAAGGTCAGGCAGCCTGTATTCATTTACAGAGTACTCTATTGATTCGGTCAGCCTGATTTGAATTTGATCAGACTACGAATTCTATCAGCCCGATATTAAATTGAGAGGGGCGTCATAAAATCAACAATATCACATTGAGATTTGATCATCCTGATCATAATCGAAGCACGGCATCAGCCGCTTCAAGGGTCAAACGCCTTGAGGATTAAACGTAGTAAGGATTCAACTTAATAATGTTCACACGTCAGATGTTTAAAAGCCCGGGTTAAATGTCTCAAGGGTCAGACGTGGCAAAGGTCGAACGTCGTAAGGGCCAGACATTTAAAGGGTCTAACATTTCAAGGTTCAAATATCTTGTTTGAAGAGTCAGGCAATATAAGGATCAGATGTTTCAAAGATCAAATGTCTTAAGAGTCAGACTTATGAAGGGTCACATTTCTTAAATGTCAGACTTCATAAAGGTGAGATCATCACAAGGGTCAGCTGTTTTAAGGCTCAAAAGTCTAGAGGATCAGAAATCATAAAGGTTGAATGTAAAAGAGAAAGTGAGCGGTGGGGGAAAACGATAGTGGAAGGGAGGAGAGAGGGAGGGTAAATTCTCCCCCACTATCAGAAGTCGATTTACCGTGTAGATTTGGTAATTGTAGGATCCTGGGTTCGAAGCTAGTCGTGAGCAGAATAATTTGCGATAAATTCGATTTTTTCTGCGATAAATGCGTAGCGGGATAACCAATAAGGTCACAAATGATCGTAAAAATGATTTTTGAAAATTTAATCATCATTTTTTGTTGATAATTATTATTAATGAAACTGGACGCATTCCTCCGCTCCGACTCCACGGGGCTTGATCAGATTCAAGTCCGCCCGGTCTGATCAAATTTGGATCTAAAACGGCGTTACACCTTTGATCGGGACCTGATCGAAATTTCGACTCGGGCAATTCTGGCTATCTTGTGTTAAACTATTTCGGTGGAATGGAATGAGAATTTTGCAAGTCACGATTTAATTAATTCAGGAACCGTGAGAAAAATATCAATTCTCTGTATTTTTTAGATATTCCCTTCCAACACCAGAATATCCTCAATATCAAAAGTGGTATATGTCATTTGAACAGTTGAGTGGCTAGATCATCCTGAAAATCTATTACTTGTTTGGCCTCGCGAACTTCATTTCCACTCACTCCACCAAATTCTAATTAGAAGCACAATAAAAAATTGAAAAACAAAGGATTCCACAGATAATCATTTCGGGTTGTCTTATCAACTTATTAGGAGCACCTTTTCACACGGAGAGAAATGTTCAGTAAAAATTACGGAACTCACAATTCACTTACCGATTACGGAATCGACTCAGAAAATTTTAGAGACGGTATCGTAATTTTTCACAGGAGATTCAGATGAAAATTACGGAACGCACCGTGAAAAATGCCGTGACAGTTCCGTAAAATTTCCTACAACCACATTTCGCTCCAGAATTACGGAAAAGATACGTAATTTTTATTGGATATTTCTCTCCGTGCACCACATAAACAAGTGGATTATATTATGCTTCCTTTCACATTCGAAAATTCAACGGAAGCTAAACTATCATCTAGAAGAATAAAAGATTCTCTAAATCAGAAATAATAGACTTTTGATTCAATATTTTTTCCATATTATCATGACCAATCGATTGACATTCACTCTGCTTTTCAAAATTCCATAAAAATACCTCAATCAAGAGGCCAATACCACTGATTCACTTGTTCTCCACACGCCAATTATTTCAGCGCGGATGAGTATATACATGCGGTACATACAGATAACGAACTGGGAACGACATTAATGAGACGCTTGATGCGAGTTGAGGGACGACGCACTTCAGAGGAAACCGGATGAGACCAACCATTTCTGTGTATTAACTACATTCGTTGGTTCAATCAAACGACTAGAAATAAACAATATTAAAAAGCAAAAGTGAATGTCAAATCATCTGCTCAAGACATTTAGGGCAATCGATTTGATTCAATACCGTAGTCTTCGCCCGGAACAAACTCTTCTTTCTGGTCGGTGTGCCAAGAAAGAACACTCACAAAGTCCGCAACAAAAGAAGGCACCACGCACTTCAAAATCGCGCTGTTGCCACGTATTGCATACTCCTTATTTACGTCTGTATCATAGTATTGTGCCACCACTGTTGGTTCAAAATGATTTGAACTTAGATATGTAGACATTCGACAGAATTTGAGAAGTTCCCAAGATGCTTATAATTTTTCATCACGCTGTGACGAAAAGTGAACTTTTCGGCACCCTCCGCGTGCCTAAAAGTCCAATTTCCGCCACATTGTGATGAAAAATATTGTTCGTAACTCGTGAAAAAATGGTTTTTAGCTCGTGGGATTATATCACGAGCCGAAGGCGAGTGCAAAAAAGTGTTTTTTGCCGAGTGGGCGGTTTATATCACGAGCCGAAGGCGAGTGATATAATCCCACGAGCTAAAAAACATTTTTTCACGAGTTACGAACAATATTTTTCATCACAATGTGGCGGAAATTGGACTTTTAGGCACGCGGAGCGTGCCGATAAGTTCACATTTCGTCACAGCGTGATGAAAAATATTGTTCGACACATGTGAGACGGAAATTTTCAGCTCGTTTGATTGGCAGCCCTCGGCTTCGCCTCGGGCCGTCAACTTCACACTCGTAAAAATTCCGTCTCACTCGTATCGAAATATACTATTTTTTGTCACTGCAGGTACTTTCACCTCGTGTCGAAAAGGGCCTTTTCGTTTACATATTAACGAAAATCGGCACTGTTCGCCACTCGTTGAACATAACATCACTAACAAAAATATAGTCCGACACATGTGTCATGGAGATTTTGCAGCTCGTGTGATTTGGTCCTCGTCTTCTGATCAGATTATAAAATCACATTCGCTAGATAATACTTTTATCGCCTGATGACATAATGCACCATTTCCTCTCGGAGTCCCGCTAACTGGTGCCTATGGTCTTGTTTTGTGGCCGATAGGTGGCGATTAGCAGCCATGGACTTGATAAAGAGAAATATCTGACTTCAAGTCGCGTTTTAACGCTCCTACGAGGGCTAACTCCAGTTAGTGCTCGTAGAGTCTAAGATTTAGACTCGTAAAATAACCGACCTCAAGTCAGCTGTTTCACATTGCCGCGGTCCCTCATTCCTCTATTTCATATGTTTGTTCATTGTTTCTTTTTTCAATGAATTCTGACTGGAATTCCATTAAAAAATCTATTGCGGGTTTACTACAATTCTATTAAACAGTTCTATTTGCTTTGTCCGCCAATTATATTAAAAATTATGCAATTCTACCATGGGTTTTTTAATAGATATATTGCGATCGAAAAAGTTTATGGATGTAATTTAAACCACCATAAACAGCACCATATCAGTGTGCTGTTGGATGTATTTATAATTGTTTTGTCGGGCAATTATATTAAAAATTATGCAATTCTACCATGGGTTTTTTAATAGATATTTTGCGATCGAAAAAGTTTATGGATGTAATTCAGAAACCCCCGGCGTGTTTTTTCAAATGCAACCGAAATCTGAAAAAATTGATTAATAACGTCTGTTTTAACAACGCTGGGGAAGTTATGAAGAATGGGGACCCAATTTTCAACTTCCTACAATTAGTGAAGTAATGGGGATAAACGGGGGAGAAACATTGCAGCGGTGGCGACGCAATGGTGACCTCATTAGTTTATTCAATTATTAATGCAAAACTATAAATAACTAGAACCATTGAACTTCACATTTTTAGTCGCTGCTAATAAAGTGTGCGAGACACGCTGATAATGCAGCAGTCCGTTTAATTAATATAGAGGACACGGGCAATACGATACTAACTGATATGGTGCCTGGGGACTCCCCTGTTTCCCTCCAACACTATAATCATTTTCTATCGTGAAATTACATATTTTTGTTGTAGACAAAAAAGGTACGCAGTTACTTCCGAAGCGTTTATAGGGATAAATATAGGAACTGGGCCGAGACCTTACCGGCTCTAACGTTGACGTCGCGGCTGTGGACTGATCCAGCTGGAGATGTTGCAAGACAACTATAAACCTGGGCATGAACCTCTTGTCGATAATCTTCGGCGCGGAAGGGTGGAAATACCAAATTGCCATTTGGCAAAACCTGAAACATTGAAATATACACATTGAAAATCATCAAAGTATGTTAAATATTCAGTTTAGTCACCTTGAGAAATAAGGTTATTCAAGTTTTCTGCTTATATTAGGTCCGAAATTCGGATTGATGGAGGCCGAGTCATTCCACTTGAAATTGGTCGAAAAACGACTGAAATCAAGTCGACGTTGACTTGAATCAGTACATTTTTTGGGTGTATACCTTGAGTATTTATCAATGTAGGAACGAGAACAGAAGAAATTCACTTTCATATTCAAAGAATTGAACATGAAAAAATGAATTAATTACACAGGGCTTCTAAACAATATAAATGTCAATGAACCGGAAATTTGATTGAGACTCAATAAATTCGGGAATTAATTCTCGTGACAAAGAGAAGAACGATGGAAAGATATGGTCAGTGAATTTAAAACCAATGAATAATACATCACCTGTCTCAATCCAGGGACGTCACCAACAGCAGTACCATCAGCACGAACCCATATGATATCCGGTTGGGGATTACCTCGAGCCTGGCACTCGACCTCAGCTCCAGTTCCATTAGAGAAGTCCACACGATTCGGCGGTTCCTTGACAAACACCGGTCCCATCGACTCATCCTCGGCAATTGCAACTGAAAACGATAAATGTTAAAAATATAGTTTAAAAGTTTAATTCAAGCATGTAGATCAAAAGTTCATGTACATGAATTTTCCAAATTTCGTTGAACATTTCTGCTCTTTATTGTGTAACTGACAGTCACTTAAAGTAATTTCATTGAACGTGAACATATATTTGAATAGAATGTTTATAAACGGAATATTCCATGCTAAATAAACTAATTGATTACTCCCAACGTCCCGTCAAAAATTGACAAATAATGAGTAAGAAACAACTCGAGACATCTTCATTGATCAATTGGTTCCATGCGACCAAATGATCACACATATTTTATACTTTGAAAATTTTTTGGAACCTTTCAATCTCAATATATGTACATTGAAAATGACAAAAAATTTACAGGGAAAATGAATTAAAACAGAATCAGGTGGGTTTTTTGCTTTGACTGCAAGCTTTGTATACGTAATTTTCATCACGCTGTGACGAAAAGTGAACTTTTCGGCACGCTCCGCGTGCCTAAAAGTCCACTTTCCGGCACATTGTAATGAAAAATATTGTTCGTAACTCGTGAAACAATGTTTTTTGGCTCGTGGGATTATATCACTCGCCTTCGGCTCGTGATATAAACCTGCCACTCGCCGGAAAACAATTTTTTGCACTCGTTACGAAATATACTATTTTGTCACTGCTGCTACATTCAGCCCGTGTCGAAAAGTGCCTTTTCGTTTACTAGTAAACGAAAAGTCTTTTCGTTTACAAGTTTCGACTTTTCGTTTTCGTTTATTTTTTCGATTTCTTAATTTGGGGGGGGGGGCGCGTATAACTGTTATGAAACATGAAAAAATGAGCTTTAAAGAAATATCTGTATAGTGTAAGTATGTGTGTATAGACGTGTGGCCATATATCCAGAACGACATCAACAACTCCAAAATAGGTATCACAAAGATGCTGAAATCTGTCTCTTAAGTTTTTTGTGGCGCGGTCAGGGGGGGAGATCGACAAAAAGTCAAGAAATCGATGTTTTTTTAATATATTCTGTGATTTTTGCAAAACCCCAATCCAAAATCCCAGAATCAGTGCTACCAACTTGTACTTCGAACAGCACGACGTTGTCCCTTTTTCTATCCATATTAATCATTTTCTAATTATTGATAAAATGTTGTACTGCAATGTCAATTCGCTCATCAACATCAACACATTTTTAAAATAGAGAAGAAATAGTTGAAAAAATCCGAAAGAAATTGTAGACGATCCGTGAATGGAGGCGCATCCACACCTAGTTCCTTCGCATCCATTTGTGCAAATGCTGCGGCGTTTGCGTGAATCACTCCGAATAGAAAATATTCTGCGTGAACCACTTCACTCACTCTTGCGTGAATCACTTCGAATAGAAAATATTCTGCGTGAACCACTCCACTCATTCTTGTGTGAAGAACTCATACTACATTGCCTCTCTGCGGGTCTCACTCACTGCACTATCTACATGCAATGCTCATAATGAACTACTTCGAACCTACGTGAATCACTCACAATTTTCAATTACCAAATTAATCATCAATCGAATATTCAAATTCTGAATTAATCTATCAATCAGGAATCGTGTCAGAAGTTTGACCATTTCATGTCTAATTGAAAAACCTTTTTATGAAATTTAGAATTATTTACTTAATAGTTGATAGAAAATTCAAGCTATGAATTTTCGTAATATTTTCAAATTTCAAGTAAGATAATGAAACCATAGTAATAGAAAGGCGCAAATTCGAATAATATTACAAAATATTACAAATGTAATGATTGTCGACAATCGCTGCTTATGACACAATATACTATTGCACAATAACTAAATAAATACATTATCACTCATAATTTATTGGCAGTATTTTTTTCTGTAAATAAAACGCATAGTAACCGTGTTTCAAAAAGCCTATAAATGACGTATAAAATGAAACAATTCAACATTGAACGTATATTCCGCGTCCCAGGATATACGTATTTTAAACAAAGGGTCGCAAACATCGAAAAAGTATTCATCAGTTAAGTGTTTTCCACCTCCAGCATTAGACAACTATCAAACGTTGATAGTACTACAGATAAAGCGACCGATCGGGTGACCGATCTATTTATAAAAGGTTTAAATATATGACTATTCCAATATACGAGTTTTATCAGGATATTTCGACAGATTTGCATGAACCAATAAGGATGGTGCGCATTATACATTGATTTTCCACCATAGTTTACGATCATATTTAACGTTTTTTCACCACACAATGTCTACTGGCGCTCAAAAAGGACCAGCGTTAAGGTGACGGTTTTTTCTATAGGGAAACATTTTTTTTCTCTATTAAATCAACAATCTTTCTAGAAAAAATTTGACTCACCGTTAATCATCATTGTGACTAATGCCAGTATAGCGAAGCGAGCCTTCGACGCGCCTGGTAGGCCACACAGCATCTTGCACATACCCATATCCTTGGCTGGGCAGCAAGCACACCTGTTGTAGTCACAAAAGCACAGTGTAAAGCACAACTCTGATGGAATCACCAACTTGATATAAAATCAACAATCACAAGAAACACATTTCTCTATTCATTATAGCACTGAATTGTTTTATTCTCTGTTTAGCAACCAAGTTCTTTCCATGTGTTATGCCAATGGACGGATTACAGTTGAGATTACGGTTGATTGGTTGATTGCTTCTGGAATAGTGATAAAGATGACCTGAGTTATGATGAATGGAATAAGTGACTACACTGACAACCGAGTGTACTGGACTCAAGGGAAATTAAAAAAGAATTGATCAGAATTTTAATCCTAATCTTAGATTTCAATTTTCTTCATTCAGTTCTGAAGTTCAATAGTGACGCACAACAGATGGGACTCATTAGTCGAACCAAAGTACTCGCCGCACAATCATCTGTAACCGACGAGCATATGACTTTTTCTTTTATTCGTCTCTTCTTCACTCGTTCCAGTCGAGTGTACACATCAGACGCTGGCAAAACACGAGTATCACTATTTTATGGGATACTACATGATTCTGTTTTCCAGGAAATGAGTTATTAACAACTGATTATGTAGAAAGAGTGGAATGTTAACCCTCCATCACTCGCTTAATGAGTGCGGCGCCGCCCGTTTTTTTATATTTCAGCGCATTTCTGGACGCTTCAAAATTTTGAAAAAATTGGAGGTCCTAGTTCAGTCTTTTTATTAAGCACAAGAGTGGTCCGTTTTTTTCTCGGGAAATTTGTTTAGCTAAAAAAATTGCTATTTTCATCACAAGCCCGAAAAAAAAATTTCTGAAATTTTTTGTGAGGGTTGCAGACCGAGGCAAAGCCGCCGAGGAATGCAATCACATGAGTCAGAAAAGATCGAGGGTCAAGGGTCTCCTCAGTAAGCTTGTCATAAATTTCGGAAAGCGCTAGTGATACAAATTTTGAATCATCTGTTGTTGGGTACATTTGAAAACGATGATTAAAAATTCAAGGATTTCGACCGCTTGATCCTCAAGATATCCATAGCATAAAATTGAACAAACGAGATTTTACAAGCATTAATGCGGGCATCATGGAGTGAGGATGAGAAGAATTTGAAAAACTAGGCCAGTCAAATTACGACTTCGAAATCAAGGATAATAGAAGAAGGTTAAAAATCATAGCACATCATGTGGAAAGATGATATGAAACACATTAAGTTTTTGGGATTCTAGGGGACCGCCAAATTGTTCAAAAAATTAAAAACTGTACAATTAAGCGTCCCCGCGACGTTTTTTCCTTTACGCTGGCGAAACCGCAAAAGACAGAAGAATAAAAGTCATTAGATCATGTGTAGAGCATTCAATTTCGTACAAAAAAATCGGCGGCGGCATTTTTCTAATTCCAACCGTCAAGCTGCCAAACACGCGCAAAACTGAATCACGGAAAAGCTGATTCTCCGCCAGCACCGAAAAGTCCATTTTAGTTGCAAAATGCAAATGATGTATGAAAAAGTTGATTGACAAATTTGAAAAAAAATCAGAATGCATCTTGATCCTTCACAGAAGTTCGTCCCTTTACCATTCCACAAAGGGGTGAGGGGAAAACAGTTGAAGAGAGCTTATTCGCTAGTCTTTAATCAACTTTTTAATGTTATAATAATAACAAAATTGCTCTGGATATGTTTTTCATAAACCATTTCCTAAATTTTCTTCACCTAATTCGAAGTCTGGGTTCAGGGCGCTATGTTTTATTTTCGAGAATATTCATCTAATTTTCAACTTTTTCAATCAAAATCAAGTGTCTTCCTGTCGGAAAATCATCGGAATTGACTTCTAAAAGTTGATGTTTTACATTTGACGGGAAAAGACAGGAATAATCCGATATTAATGGGTGGGTGTGCCTTAACCATGCAAAAACTGGTGCCACAACGGTACTTTTGCATCAACTTTTCTGAAATTGTCGAATCAGAATCATACATTCGACTTGAGATGTGTCATATGCGAAGCATGATACCCCTTATGAATCCCACGCGACGAATCCCAATGCGACCGCATGATCTAAACTCGAGAATTGCCTCCCTGCTGCTGGTGTGTCTCACGGACTCTTCCAGCCTGCGCTCCTAAAATACTACTTCAGGCGCCCCCCAGTGCTCCTCAGAGCTGAGCTTCGGATACGTTAGTGTCAAGAAATACCACAACACCAAGGATGGATTATGGCGAACTTCATCTCAACCAAAAAGAACTAAATTCCTTGAAATCGAAAAAAAAAATCCAAAACTGCGAGAAAAGACGCTTGAAAAAACCATTCTTCTACGTATAAAAATCGACGAGCCTTCCTGCACGTGCAGGAAATGATACGAGAGTAAGCATGAATGGAAGAAGGGAGAAAAAATCAGCTTGTGGCCTATAAGTAGAAAGAGAGAATATGATGACGTGGGGGGGAAGAGCACTGGGGTCTCGGCGAGAGTTCTTTCCTTTCCTCGCTGTGTGGATGTATTGATCGGTACCGTCGAGAGCTTACCGTGCATCTGCCTATGACATACAGACCATCAGGGACGTACCAATTCCCGAAAAACATCGCAATTACCCAGTTCTTGTTGACAAAGTTTCAATTGATATAATCATTGGCTATCCAATTGTAAAAACTCTGAAGAATTCATTCATGAAGAGCGATCAAATGCTCGAAATTTTTGGTCAATTTCCTCATAACTCGCTATTTTCTCTTTATTCGAGGAAAACCAATTGTTGTGGGTAGACAGCTGGCGAAGGGTGAAGCCCCCAGAGGGTAGGTGAACTCGGAGCGCAGGCGCTGTACTGTCCAGAGCCGTTACTGTCCAAACACCGCCCTCGCTAAACCGACCATGCGACCCTGCCCGAAAGACGACGCTTGCTACCTGCTTTCCTCAACCTTCCTTTCGCTTTTTTCTCATCTTCAAGTAACACTATGGACCAACTGCTGCATCACGCCTAATGCTTGTTCCCTTTATTCCAGAAATACAAAAGCGGTATTACCGTAGTTTCGTTCTGTTCGGGATGTAGTATACATTTGGATGAGATGATGCAGATGTTTTTATTCCTAATGTACTTTTGCGATTTCAAGTTTTTAACAATTATTTTCTAGCTTTAGCAACTGCAGTTGATGAGCATAATGATGTCTGTGTGCGGAGAGAAGGGATTACGATGTGAAACAGACAGATAGTCGGAAGAACTGATACATAATCCAAAAAAGAATGGAACTCCAAACTCTGGAAAAGCTGTCAGTTTTGGAGCGTGAATATGATTTTTTTCGTTTTTATTCTCCTGTTTGAGAATATTGTAGGACCGAAACGATACGTATTTCGCACATGGTTATACCAGGTTTATCAAGGAAAGAAAATCGGGTAGAAGATATCTGAAAAATCGATTATGATAGAATAAGTTTGAGAAGATATGTCAGACCGGCACTTAATTTGAGTCACTTCGTGTCGGACTTCTATTTAATCCCTATCCTTTGATGCTATACAAATTCAATGAACAAATATGCAGGAAGTATTCCATATTCAATGAGTGAATATCCAAGGAAATGTTGAAAATGTATCCAGTATGTATGCAGATGAATTTGTTTATCCAGAATCACTGTTGTGGAGCACTCCCCAATCACACACGTGTATTTCGCGTATTCACAGATAATATTTATCCAGGATTATAATTGGATTATACCACACACCTTCAGACCGAAGTCTAGAATGCGGTTGCCACTTGTTCAATTTGCGCCCGCGGAGTGAATTTGCACAATTATTTTTATTTATTGCAATATTACTTTGAGAATAATTTGAAATTTGGTTTTTATCGCGAGAAACGAAGGATCGTATGGTCGTCCGTCAGCACTCGAATACCGAGTTTCAGCGGCGTGGAGTCACTCCGCGGGTGAAACGGGTGGAGGGGATGAACGTGGTGGGGGAAACGAGATCATGCGGACTGGAATGCATTTTTTATTTTTAAGATATTCATTTCAGAACAGGTGGGAATTCTACGATATGTCAGTGACAATCAAGAGGAGACCTAATGAAAAAGATCCTAATTTTCTTTAATTTTCGTTTGTAGCATTTTGTTACTGTAAAATTCACCTTGAAGATCAGCAGTGAGAATCTGCGTGTTCAAAAGGTTCTTGAAAGACTTCATTTTTTAATCAATCACACGCAAGGGCAGTCGTGGACTCGGAACACCCGCCCGGGATTGGTTGGACAATAAGGTTTTTATGGGGATGTAGGTATGTCTGTACATTGTAAGTCTACATCATGGAGAGCATTAAATTAAGAACATCAGGAAGAAGCATTCCCATAGAAAATCCAGTGGTGGGGGTGCCACGGATGTGATGTCAGAAAATCGTGCTCTTTTGACATTGGCGCGTAGTTTTCAAAAGGGTTCAGAAGTAGGGTGCAATTAAATATCAGAATATAATACTGATATACCTGTGCAAAGTGATTTATACTAAACACTAATTATCGCGAACTATTTTGTATGTGGTTATTCTCAGTAGGGAGGTCTACACAGAGAAAAAAATCTCTCGAAAATTAGTGTACCTTCCCACTAACACATGGGCGGTACCGAATGGGCCACAAATAAATAGAGAACACTCTACACAAATTAGAATTACTCTTTCCAAAATTTCGTGTCCTGCACCCCACTTTTTTCCGCTCATTAGAAACTAGTCTAAGGAATCGCATTTTTATGGAACTAAGAATGAAAAACTGGCCGGCCCCTCTCTAAATTTTAGCATGCCACTCATAAAATTTTCGCCTGTACTCCTTTACTAAGTCGTGACCTCTGTGCTTTGAAGAATGAATGAGCTTCGTATGCACGTAGACTATCGTATGGCGTTTAGTGGATTGGCACACTAATTTTTGGATTCCCGAGCGCACGACTTTGTGGTGCGCGCCTACTATTTTTTAACTTGTTCCCCCGAATTATAGGAGTGTTACATTTCGATTACCAGCGTACCCCCTGACACGTCCCCGCGTTGGTGGGTAGCACACTAATTTTTGGCGAGACCTTCAACGAGATTGTCGGGTATTTTTCTCTCCGTGTAGGTTCATCTTCCGTATCGTTCCAAACGTACCATTTGAATTAGCCGCCCGGAAGTAATGTCATTTTGACATCGCGAAACTGTTCGGTTTTCGCAGCAAGCCACCCGAGCTTATGGTTCTTCCTGATATTCTTTGTGCAATGATGGAGAGTAGAGACCAGGAGGAAGGGGATGAAAATGTAAAATTCTGAAAATGTAAGGACTGAGATCGGTAAAGTAGATTTCGCAATTTGTTAACAGCGCCATCTCATGGTAAAGCGATAAACTTAAGACGAACGCGAGTTGAAAGATGACGCAGTAGTAGCAAATTTTATATTTTGAAGGTGTTCAATTATTTGAATGTAGCGATTTGGGTGAATAAGGAGATAGGCCTCGACATAGAGATAAATTAATCTACTATCGTCGTTAATACGTGGGCGAATATTTATCATATACCCGCTGCTGTGCCCGGCGTTGCCCGGGCAACTGTTTTTTTCTGCATCTCATTTTTTAATTCAATAGTACATTAGAGTACAAGGGCACAAATTTCGTTTTCAACGAATGTGAATACAGACCTCGCCTTCGGCTCCGTCTGTAAACTTCACATTAAACACATTGAAGTTTACTTCACATTGAAGTTTATGCTCGAGTGGTCTATACTCTTTTATGCCACATCGTGCAGAAGTGCGATAAACTCGACTTATTGCACGGCGTGCCACAAAATGATTTAATAATTCATTTTTTAGTGGTTTACACAAGTTTGGTATAAAAATAAAAATCATTAGCTTCACAATGTTCATAAAATTTATTTCACGACTCATTCTCAAGTATTCTTATAATGAAATCATGAATTGAAGAAATTAGGTTTCATTTCTCCAATTCGCTTAAAATTTCTTGAAACTCCATGCATTCTCCTGAATTCTCTGGAAAATCCTTACATTTCCTCTAATTTTCTAAAAACTGCTTGACTTCGCTCGAAAGTTCTAGAAACTCCTTGAATTCTCACGAATGCAAGTGTCATTTATGCCACTATTTGCACTCAAATGTTTCTAAAGAATTTCTCTCATTGCAATTAATTTATTTGATTCTTCAGAGATATAAATGAACATTTTCTGAATGTTCTAAAGGCTTGACTGCCTGTATGATCCCGAAAAATGTCAACTGCCACGTCACTGAAAAAAACCCCAATTGCTCAGGGAGTGCTGACCCGAAACTAGCGTTAAATACACCCCTGGTATACGACGAATTGTGGGGGAATCCCCTGCCTCCTCTGGAGATGTTGAGATAAATAACGATTCCGCCACATCCAGATCCCCCATACAGATCCCCAACCCCAGCAACTGCAATGCAACTTTGGAGATGTAATTGATGGTATAACAGGAATGGGGAAAAAATACTTGGAGAAAAGGATAAGAAAATTGCAGCTGTTAAAGCTATACTTGCAAAAGCAGCTGCAAACAAACAGAGACGCATGAGATCACGAGAGGGAACGAGTGGAATGACTCAGAAAAATCACGACCACCTCCATCAACTGCGAAAAGAAAAAATTCTCATGATGCAAAAGTTGAACCGGTATGAGAAGGTTGCTGTTTTGAAAAAGAAATTAAAAACCTTGCAGAAGTTCGAAAAGTTCAACAAACTCAATCTTACCACACAAACTCTTTTCGATATACAGTTGGAGAATGTTGAAAAAATCCAAAGGTACATTCATAGAATTTCTCTTCAATAGAAAATACAATTCCAAATTCATTTTAATTATTATTTGTAACGAACATGTGGGGATGTTCGTTAGGAACACCAACACGACCTGATAACAACCTACTCCTGCGACATTATACGGCGATCCGTGAGTGAAGAGTAGACAGAGAGTATTTCGTGTTTTCCACTTCGGTGCGGTATATTATCCGATCATTGTTGCGATAATTGATTTCAGAGTTTTCCGCCTTGGCGTGGTGGATTTTTAGAGTTTTGGAATTTTTGGGTTGGAAATGTATCATTTTTTATGTCTTCGAGGTCTGTTTAATTATGCGTTTTTGAGGGCCCATAGAATTATCGCGCAGAAGGGCCAATATTTTAGAGTCACTGACCCCCGAAGTTCAGTCCCGCGCCAACCCTCTCCGGAACCTAAATTGCTGTCATTTTAACATAGTCAATATATTTTTTCGAATAAATTAGCAATTTGTTTTCAATTGCGTTTTCTATGACGATGTATTTTAAATTCAATTCAATGATTAATTGATTTCAACATTGCCCCAAACATTAGGGCATTTTCCTAACGTTTGCAACGAACATTATCTCAATGCTGGCAGTCAATATTATCCCAACGTTGGTAACCAACATTGCCCCAATGTTAAAGATATTGATCATTCCCGGCATATTGGCTTCAAAATAAATTTTTTCAATAACAGATGATACAATCAATCTCATGATCAAACTCGGTCAGGATGGCATTGAGAAGAATATTTTAAACTACAATTGGATTCATTTGAACAATTATTTTTTTCAGTTATCTTCGAAAAACGATTGGTCACATACACACACACATACGCACATCCGGACATCGTCCAAAATTAGTATATTCGAACTCGTGAGGCCAAAATTGATATCCGAACACGAAACATTGAAAATTTCGGATTTCACGAATACTATGCCCCCATTCAGTCATTTAGTGAAAAAGAATTCAATCGATTTGAAAATTTAGGGATAAATTTGTATTACTGTATAGCTCTTTTCGGGAAAAAATCGCAAACTGAATCGGAAATAAGCACTTTTTCCAATTTCGATTTGGATGTAGAATTTCTCATTTAATAATTGAAAATTTATTCAAACTCGAGCATTGTTGGTAGCACCGCTGGGCTAGTGGCGATAGTACCGCCCGTTGTGTGTCCGTTTCCTCTGCCTCAATGAAGAGGTGCTTAGGGCTGTTGATGAATAATGTGAATTATGTATTTGTTAAATATGTTAGCTGAATATGTTAAAAGTACAAATGGTAGAAGTAAATATGAGAAAGCTAATGTTACAACAATTTAAAAAATAATATCGAATCATCCGATTGGAGATTCTTCAAATCGATTACTTATGAGTAATCACAATCATTGCATATCCGTCATCATGAATAAAATGAATCCCAATTGATACATAATCTTGCTATCTGACTAACATGTAGATGGACGATGGGGATAGGAAACACTCAATTCACGGACTCCGCTGTAGTTTAGCTATAGTAGGAGAAGGTCGAGAGGTTCCGTTTCTACTCTGTAATATAAAACTCTGAAGTGAACGAATAGAAGTTTCAGTTGATCGCTCGCACTTTTGAGATTCGAACACGTTCATAGAAATGACGCAGGCCTATTCATTTGTATACGTTTGCCTCGTGCTGACAGTTGCATGGATCATTGGTTCTGCAAGTCCGTTAATCCCTGTTTTGTGATCCAACGTTTCCTTCGTTCTTTAAAGATGGGATAAATTAATTCTTTGGATTCTAGGTGGGAAACCGATTCAAGTGTTGAAAAATATTCCCGGATTTATTCCAGTTTACATAAGACATGGGAATGAACCACTGGAGGAGATAAATCCATCATTAGCTGAAGCATTTCACGAGGAAAAAAATAATATGGTAAATAATTATTAGACATAAGATGAGTGAAAATGTCAGGAGTTGAGTGTGTTGATCATGTGTTCACCTAAAAAACGAGTGGATTTTTTAAAGAAAATGCCAGAAGACTTCTTTTTTCGTACAGAAAATTTAATACAAAACTCACCTTTAGGAAATTTCTCCAAGAATCACTAATCTATGTATAGTTGAACCGTTTCATCAGTTTCATATCAAATAGAATAACAGAACAAAGGGCTAATGTAAAATTAATTGATCCAACAGAACGTGATTCCCATCGAGGAACAACACGTCTCGAAACTCGACGGTAGAATCCCGAAGAATATTATACCGCCAATTCCCCATATAGGATTAAATAAAGAGAAACGCGAGATCCTCTATTCAACATTCCAAGAATAATGAGGGAGAAAGAAAAGAAAGAAATAGTGACGTAGCTCCAAAAGATCTTCGAGGACACGACCATGAGATCAAGTAATTCGTCATCTCCTGTACCTACCAGATGGGAATGAAGTGAACGTCAGACTAAAGTCGTCTTTTTTATAGCAACCAATGTTTTTCATCATCGTTGAATCGTCTTTTTCCACATAGATTTTACATTCTATAATATACAGGTACACTCGACAATTTGAATTATTTCCCGTTTGGAGCCTCTGCGTGTCCTACAAAAAATTCAATTTGAGTTCCATCTGATTATATTTCTGTAATATTAACCCTAGATTGGTCACCATCGGAGGGAAACGCCGCAGCGCGTGCTTTTGCATCCAAATGAAAGCTTTGTAATCGTTCAAATTTAAGTTGCCAATTCTTTGTATTAGGGTAACTTAATGTGGTCTCAAAACTCCGAATATACGTTTTTTAAGTAGTGTCTCTCTAAATTTCTTTATAAGAGATCTATCGAATTTCATGAATCTTCCATGAATATAGACTATAATAAGCTCTATTCATTGGCACCAATTAAAATTTAATTTTTGACACAGATTCGAAAAAATTGCTATTTTTCCAAGTATCCTTTTTTCAACGATCACTAAAAACATTGTTATCAAAACATATAAAAATTCAAAGAGAATTAGAATTTAGCGAGAAACAATGCCGCACCGCCCAGCCAGGATTCGAACCCGGCTCTCTCAGTTACGCGCTGGACACTCTCCCAACTAAGCTACCGGGTACTTAATTATGGCTCGAAAAATTGAAAAAAAATTTTGCCTTACATACATTCACCCCCCCCCCCCAACCACCCACCCACAGACAAACAGACATGTCTTCAAAAAATTCATATAAAGATTCGATGAATCATGAAACGTGGGGATATCATTAGATTTCCAATCTTAATTTCCTGGCACATTACAATAACTGCCTCCCTTCACCATACCATTGATTCGCTGAGCGGAAAGATTCTAAAAAATTTGAGGTCATCAATTGAAATGTCTAGAAAATGATATCATGAAAACAAATTATTTCGAACACAAGAATATTTTTTTTCATCACGCTGTGACGAAAAGTGCACTTTTCGGCACGCTCCGCGTGCCTAAAAGTCCAATTTCCGCCACATTGTGATGAAAAATATTGTTCGTAACTCGTGAAAAAATGTTTTTTAGCTCGTGGGATTATATCAGGAGCCGAAGGCGAGTGATATAAACCTCCCACTCGCCAAAAAACACTTTTTTGCACTCGTTACGAAATATACTATTTTGTCACTATTGCTACGTTCACCTCATACCGAAATGTCCTTTTTAGTTTAATTGTGAGTGAAAAGTATTTTCGTTCATGGGTCCTATTTTAAAAAGAACATACGCCGTAAGCTGTAGCGTAACGCTCATTCCTCGAATTTCATTGATCGAACATTCGGATCCGCCCGCACGTGTTCGACTTCGGTCGGCTTTCGGTTTTCGTGTCACGATTCGTCTTTAACACGCGCGCTCAAGCGCGCGATCGTTCTCGTATACGAAAAAAATTTATAGTCCGTCGAGTGATTTATAGTCACTCGTTGAACGTAATTGACAAAAAATCTAGTTCCGACATAAATGCGATGGAATTTGTCATAAACAAATAATATATTATTCCCATATGAAATCGATTGTCCCGTGATGCGGCGTTTCCCTCCCATTTCCAGAGCAGATTGAATTTGGCATCGCTGAAGGCAAAATAACGCGGCGGCAAATCCCTCCTCAGGTGACCACACTAAGTTTAAGACAAATAAGCATAAGTACCACATTTTTTTAACAGTAATTACCTGTATTCGTGAACTTTGAATCTGGCTGGTGTACAATTGTGATGTTTTGAATAAAGCGCCGCTAGGCATCTGGTTGGCTCTTTTTTATCTCTAAGAAGACATGTCTCGGTTTCATTACCCGGGCAAAAACCCACACACTGACCTACATTTATGTGCTAAATTAACATTAAATAATCCACCATAAATAAATTGTCAATCCAATAATCATTTGATAATCAAGTAAAAAGTTTGCTCTGTACCCTGATAACTGGTTTCACGTCACTTGTGTTGATTCCCGGTTTTATCTCTAGTTGACTGTAGTCAAGAACGCTTTCGGTTCTGTCCATTCTGTGACAATTGTTGGCACAGCCGCATTTGTCAATAATTTGATAAATTTCATCGCCTAAAGTGGTATAAACAGAAATAATTAACGGTAACGATATAAATGGAGTAAGTGGAACGATGAAAGGACTGACCATTGGGCCCCTTGACGCTGACCGTACTATTTTTGAGGGGTTGACATGTCAGGGATTTGGAACACAACCCTAGACATCGTCCTATGTCCATTGCTACTTGATACGGAGTTCCAGAGTGAACTAATTGTTCGAAAGACACTCGTGCACATCCTGATTCTTGCCAGCAGTCACATGTGTCGACAGTTTCGATTATTTTTACTCCCTGAAGAGTGGAAATTCGCTCCATCCGAGCTGTTCGTGGATGACATTGCGAATGAAGTGGACATCTCTGCAAAGTGATTGAAAAAAATTGTGATATGAATAATTTCGACGATAAAGTTGTGAGGGAATCGTCCAAGTATTGATGTATAGTCGATACCGCAAATAATTTTGAAATATAGGAAGTTACGAAATTTATTCAACATGTCTTTTTTAAGCTGTTAAAATTTTTTCAAAAAACGATCTCCCGATAAAATCCCGTGAATGCCTTCCCCGCAAAATATATTTCAAGTTTCGGCCGAGTAACGAACAGTGTTATTGTCATTTCGTCCGTGACGAGTTGTTTTACGAGTGAAGTGACAAAATTAATATATGAAAGTATTTTGAAACATCTCATTCTTAATAATTTCAAATTTACTTGAACAGCCGGTCTACTAGGATCTCCCGGATCATCAGTATTATGTCTGGGGCATACTTTTCGACATATACCTGCATCAATCGTTATAATCTCTCCTGAGATACCTGAAAAATGAAAATATATGAAATGGTGTCAAAGTGCAAAAGGGCACATATAAACCAAACCGGATGAGCAACTTTATCAACACACGAGGTGATCGTGCATACGAGGCTTCAATTGATTAATGTGCCATGGATAATTATTACGCTATCCGGCACTACACGTATCCCATCGAAACAGACCCAACCCCCCCCCCCCNCCCCCTCTATCGCTCTCTCTCCCTCTCTCTGTGTTATGCGCATGAACAATTTCTATAATTATTTGTGTGATTTTTCTCGAGTTTCTCCTGAATGATACATTTACCGTGTCCAACGCCGATTTTTTTCTGGTGTTTTGCGCAGCAGTGGAATTGTCTATTAGGACTATCAGAGTACTCATCGTCAATTTTCAATTTACTCCCTCCAGCCACTGAACTGTTCCATATTAAATGAGCAATTAAAACACTGTGGAGAAATAAATATCGAGACAATAAACACAACATTGTAACTTAGCTGCATGGAATTGCCCTTTGTTAGCCACTGTTTGCGGTGACACTGACGAACAAGTTTCATTGAGTTTCTACAAAGGGCATAGGAAGTTCAAACATTTTTATAAAGCGCCGTTGAATATAGGGGTGATAAGTGGAGTGCTCATTGGCTGAGGTTTGTAATTTGCATCACGTGATCTGGAACTTATCGCGCAAGTGCAATAGACCTGAGACTCTTTTCTGAAAAGAAGGTGGGCGTGCATTAGAATGATTAACAGGTGAACACTCGGGCGAAGCCGAATCTGCAAAATATATTTGACATGGCTCGATGTTTTTAACCCTTTTAGAAACTGGGCTCCTCTTTTCCACCTGGCCCTCATGACCCTTTAGCACTTAAAAGCGTTTCGTTATTTGACGCGTTTTTCCGGTTCGACCGTCATACGACGGCTCAACCCTTATTTTTAATCTCGGAGACTTCATACAATAAAAAACCTGATGACAAAATTGTCATGTTCAATCCATCTTTGGGAATAATAGTATATTGTGCATCAAGGGCGGAAGTCATGTTTTCCCGCCCGAGGTGCACATGCTATTTTTTAACACACCTGCAAAGAATAGTATATTTCTAACCTAGGGAGGGAAAATAAAGGATCCTCAGCCGCCAGTGCAATTACCTCGCCTTCGGCTCGGCTGGTAATTGCACTGCCGGCTGAGGATCCTTCATTTTCCCTTCCTAGATTAGAAATATACTATTCTTTGCAGGTGTGTTAAAAAATAGCATGTGCACCTCGGGCGGGAAAACATGATTTTCCGTTCTTGATGCTGATGAGCGGGAGGAAAGTGAGTACTTTCCACCCAAGGGCGGTATGTACTCACTTTCCTCCCGCTCATCACAAAGCAAAGTACGAACTTTCCGTGCAGGTGTATGAATAGTATATTTCTCACCTAGGGAGGGAATATAAAGGATCCTCAGCCGCCAGTGCAATTACCTCGCCTTCGGCTCGGCTGGTAATTGCACTGGCGGCTGAGGATCCCTTATTTTCCCTCCCTAGGTTAGAAATATACTATATAGTAGTTTGCATGAAATAGTTACTAATAAAGGATCCTGAAAGAGGAAAAAGAAAAAAAAGAATAGAATGAGTTTCAAACCCACATCTACCGCGTATCAGTTGGTTCGCACAGCTACGCGCTAAACTTCCATTTGTGATTTATATTTTGGATGGAAAGCGGCATATATTCATTTACACCATTTGATTCCTGTGGCTTCACTCATCCATTGGAACCCGCCAGATTACGCTTTATGAGTTTTCTGATGGTTTCCTACACGAATCATAATTTTCATCACGCTGTGACGAAAAGTTCACTTTTCGTTACAGCGTGATGAAAAATATGGTTCGTAACTCGTAAAAAAATGTTTTTTAGCTCGTAGGATTATATCACTCGCCTTCGGCTCGTGATATAAACCTCCCACTCGCCAAAAAACACTTTTTTGCACTCGTTACGAAATACACTATTATTTTATACCTGAAAAACCTAAAATAAGCAGCCGGAGTGGACCTGCCAAGGTTTCGCCTCCCCAACTCCTTTTTACCGATGGTCGACCGTGGCGCCATCCCTCCCATGAGGTCGTAATTGCCCTACCCTGAGGTCGCCTAAACCCTGAGATCTGAGCCAATCTGAGCCTCTATTTCTTCTTTGGTAGAGTGTACGATTTTTTTTCTGCTTTAGGCTGTGGTCGACATAAGAGCATCAATTATTTTGTTTACGAGTAAACACAGTTGGATAGCCGTCGAGAATCAACAACCCATCGTTAGACGCGCGTAAAATTTAATTTCACGTAACGCTAGTCAATCCATTGGACCTCTCTGTGACGTTAGTGAGACACTAAAAAGAGCGCGCTTGCTGACGGGTTAAAGTTCAAAGTGAGGTAGAGGTTATGTTTTTTGGAGCTCCCGACATAATAAAAAGTGAATAAATAACGTAAGAAGGGTAGAAAAATTTTTCAGAACGTTATAGTTCACCTTTCAGATGTATATAAATCATTCGAATCACCATCAGATCAATGTGCCCTAACGTTTTAATTGTAAATTTTAACCCTTTCCTGGCACTGAGGCGAATTCTACTTATGAGTATATTCGGAATTCGATAAATACATTTCTTCAATGATTTTTAAGGCTGCTTCCTCAGCTTTTCTGATGGAGTTGTTCTGTTCTCAATCGGTATTTTTTTTTCTACGATGAGAACAATGAATTACTTCTCAAATTATAATATGAAACAATGAATACGAACCAATTGGAAAGTATCAGATCAATTATTCCCATCTTTTTCAGTATAATATTATTTCCATCGTGACTGATTTCAGAAGAAAATGTTAAGAGATATACATATATATAGAGTGACGTCAGTACCCTGTTTACAAATTCCAGGCAGATATAGAATTAAAAAGTCCAGAATTCCACGGTACAAAAATTACTAAATTCCGATACATCCGAATCAAAACAAAACAGACATTGTTGCGAGACTTTCAAATGGTGGACATTAGAATTTTTCAATACTTCAACCAATTACATTGCGATTGACTACCGCCATGATTGAAAACGATGATGCAGTTGTCAGTGGGACTCGATATGATAATTAACATCGCTCTTCATGCTGATTAAATTATCGCTAATATTTTCACAACAACAATAACAACAAATTCAGAAAATTAAATATTTAGCCCTACTTTCACAAGCATCCCTAATTGATTTCATGATGCAATTAACAGGAAATAAATGTAACGATGTCATCAACACCAAAGAAAGGAAATCCATGGGTGACTTGTGGCAAATGCAGCGCCATAATCTCTCAGAGAGATACAGCTGTTCACGAAAGCAATTGTCCTCCCTCGGAGTTGTCCTGCGCCCATAGTTACATTCTAAACACAACTTTACACAGTACTTTGGAAACTTACACTATGCAAGAACCACCAAAAAATATATCCGTGCGAGACACCCACGATATGGTATTCATGTCCCAATCAGCCCTTCAATTATGCGACATAGCGATTGGGGATAGAGTCATTTTAACATCTGAAGTTGGGGCAATCGTTAAGAAAGCTTGGCCAATAAACGATAAATCATTAACGACTGTTTCCCTTACAAAAAACACCATCGAAACATCGAGAATGAAAGGACGTGTGAAAGTGAAAAAATTTGATTGCACTCTTCCTTCAGCCAAAGAGATAGTCATTGAGTTAATAGGGAAAATATCAAAACTCAAAGTAACAACAGATCTACAAGTTCTAGTAAAAAACCATAACGAAAGGAAACCTCTCTGCGTTGGCACTAGAATAGGTTTTCCATACTATGGGAAAACTCTGACATTCAAGGTAAAAAAAATAGTTGGAGATAAAGAAACTATTGAAAGCATTGAAGACGCTTTTGATCAAATTAGTATCAATGAAAAAACTCCAACATTCTTCGAACCTTTGTACAGCACAAAATGGTCGATAATTGGAGATGAACGTTCGAAAGTAAATAGAAAAACGGGAACGGAGGTAACCTCGGAAGATATCGGAGGGTATCAGGAACTAATGGAAGAATTGAAAGACATGCTAGACATCATTTTTAGAAAATCTAAGACTATAAAAAATTTAAAAATCAGTAAAGGAATTCTTTTGTATGGGACTGAAGGTGTTGGAAAAACTGCAATCACTTCAGCTCTCTTCTCACATTATAACATCAACGTTTTCCCCATAAACTCCAGTGACGTTATGACTCAGTCTGCAGGTAAACTCGAAGCCTATATTACTGAAATATTTTCAGAGGCAAAAGCACAAATTCCAAGCGTGATTTTAATTGAAGACCTAGATGTTTTATGTCCCAAGAAAATGGTGAGTGGATCAGAGAATGAAAAACGTCTTACGGCGACTTTCATCAACGAATTTAATATCCTACAGAGGAGTGATGTGGCTACTCTGGTATGGAGCACGACTTCAAAGCCCGATTTTATTAATCCCTCTTTGAGAAGACCAGGGCGGATTGATCGGGAGTTTGAAGTACCTGCACCAACCCCTCAAATGCGAAAAGAGATAATTTATAAATTATTAACGAAATTTCCTCATTCTTTAACTCAAAAAGATACTGATGAAATTGCGTTTGTCACTCACGGATTTGTTGGTGCTGATTTGAATTCCTTGTGCTCTAGGGCAGCTATGAATGCTATAAAACGTCATGAAAGTTTGTCAGATCCAGAGGACGACATTAAAATGACGCTAGCCGACTTCAATTACGCTTTATCTCAAATAAAACCCTCGGCAATGAAAGAGGTGCTGGTAGAGATTCCGAATGTCTCGTGGTCCGATATTGGAGGACAGAAAGATTTGAAGTTGAAGCTTCAGCAGGCGGTAGAATGGCCCCTGAAGCATCCAGAGGCTTTCTCAAGACTAGGAATAACACCTCCAAGGGGTTTGTTGATGTTTGGTCCCCCTGGATGCTCAAAAACTATGGTTGCCAGGGCTCTTGCAACAGAAAGTAAATTGAACTTTATTAATATTAAAGGACCTGAGTTGTTTTCGAAGTGGGTGGGAGAGTCCGAGAGGGCTGTGAGGGAGGTATTTAGGAAAGCAAGGCAAGTTGCTCCTTCTATAATTTTTATTGATGAAATCGATGCACTCGGAGGAGAGAGGAGCAGCGGGACTGGTAGTGCTGGTAATCAGGTGCAAGAACGAGTACTAGCACAGTTATTGACTGAGCTGGATGGTGTCACTGCTCTGGGAAATGTTACGCTTGTTGCTGCTACCAATCGACCTGACAGAATTGATAAAGTATGATTGATTAATTTTTGTCTCTTTATTTGAGTACAGTAAACAAGTGATGACAAGTGATGAGCTCTAAGAAAAAAGGAGTAGTTTTTCACAAAATATGCCCAAAAATCTTTTAAAAAGCATTTCCTAACTTAAAGGGCCTATCGTTCTATGAAATTCTTGGGTTTACTTTCGCAAATAACATAAAATCGTATCGACATACATCATAATAACAAGAAGCTGGTTACACTGCGAAAAAAAATATTTTTGCCAAATATCCATTCATTTGAGAGAAGTATTTATTTTTTCAATACCGTATTTCTCCAGCCGAATCATTTCCGATTTCCTTTGCCGACTCTAGTTTCCGTAAAATGCATAAAAATTTGCGGAATGTTATCAATATTACTGAAGTATAATCCAACGTAACGACAAATTGGGCCCTTTTCATGTGCACGGCCGCAAATATTTACTCATTACATGATCATCTTGGAAATGAGTATTTGAAAGGAAAATGGAACAAGATGTTGACAATAGTTACAAAAATTTTTTTACTGCGTTCATCGCTCAGATAGTTAAGCAAATAACCATTAGGATGAGTGGTGAACATAAAATCGTCACCATTTATTAAAAAAATCCTGTTATCCAATCATTTTATTTTTTGAAACAGGAAAGACTTGTGATAATTTTCTTGTATAATTTAATTATGAACAAAATAACTCAATTGCCGCTTCACCTCTCATATTTTATTACTTAACTACTGATTATTCCCTTTCTCTGGCCCCTCTATATAAATATCATAATTTTTACAGGCACTTCTCCGACCTGGACGTCTTGACAGAATAGTATATGTGCCCTTGCCAGATTACGAAACTCGGTTAGAAATATTCAAAATTAAATGTCGCAGAATGCCGATTGATGAGGACGTAAATATCCCAGATTTGGTTGATCTCACTGAGGGTTATTCTGGTGCTGAAGTTCAGGCAATTTGCCACGAGGCTGCCCTCAAAGCACTCGAAGAAAATTTAAATGCCTCCTCAGTTTCAAAACAGCACTTCAAGGCTGCATTATCCAGTGTGAAACCTAGAACGCCTCGAGCACTCGTGGAGATGTACGAGGAATACGTGAATAGAATTGAAAATTAGAAAAAAAATAATCGTAACATGAATTTTTGTTTATTTTCCCAAGGAGATTATATTACACTGAATTATTCAACATGTACACGAGAAAACACACTCCTCGAGCCCATAATACTTTTATTTGTTTTCTCACTAACTTCTAAATTTCCATAGCATTCACTTTAAATTATCCTTTAAATTTACTTTTAAATCTTCAATGATTCTTTTCATATTCTAGTATCGTTAATCACGTGTAAAAAAGGAACTCATTGAGTTCCCAGAACGCCAATTACATTTTTTTATCATATATTAAGTCTGTATTAACATGGAGTGACAAATAGGAATTCTAACATTATCAATCACATGAATTTATTCTTGTTCCATGAATGATTGAAATTGAAATCAGAGACTGGTACAAAAAAAATTGAATATGACGGAATCAATTCATGAATACACAATCATATATATATATGTACAGGGAAGTTCATTTTTTAAACTAAACACACCATGATAATCATTAACATCAAATATTTACAAACATGATAAAAAAATAAAATATTTTTATAAGGAAGAAAAAATGCAATTTTTTTTCTGAGAAAATCATCTTTTTTGGTCATTAGAACACCATATTTTTCGTTAAAATATAACTTTCTAGTCGCCCTTGTCTTCTCTCAAATCGCCCCAAAAGAAACAAGACAAACAAGCACTCATTTTTACACACAAACTCCCAGTGAACACACATTGATCACACGATAAATAATAAATTAACTTGGTAATTGTAACCAGTAATTCGGTCATAGATCATCAACACATAAAAAAGAGAGAGTAGAGAGATTGCAGGATTCAAATTAGTATTTAAGTAAAAGGAGATGAGTAAAATTCACTGCAAATTTACGCCGGTGATGAATAATTTAAAAAATCCTCCATATTTCCAAGTCATCAAAAAATGACATATCTGTTTTTTACTACTTTGCTGAAATAATTTTGATTTCTCACAAAAATATCTCGAGTTGAACATTGGTTTTTCCATCAGAAAAAAAAAACCTACACTATCCTCTCGTTCTGTCATTCAGCCCAGAGAACTGGATTATCTGGATTATTACCCTTCTCAGAAGTTTAGTGAGAATTTGACCCGACGTTTACTTTTATTTCACTCGACAGGATTGCTCCATGCAAACTCCATGGCTAGACGGGGGATATCAGTGCTAGCTGAGGACTCATCCTCACTGCTTGTGGCGGAAGTCTCTTCGGAAATCATGGCTTCTCCTCCTGCTTCTTGAGGTCTAGGCCCAGTTGTTTGCTGATCATTAACAACACTGACAGGTGTCTGATCTCCCGGAGAGGCTGAAGGATCACTCCTGGGCCTCCTCCTTACTGGAACCGGTGTAGAATTGTAAGAAGGAGTCCAACCATCTTCCCGCATGGCATCTGAAGTAGAAACACTTTTGGATCTCGCTCTGATATCCAAAGATTTTCGTGGAGCTCTCCTCAAGGAATTCTGCCTCGAAACCGTTGGTGTGTTATCCTTATTAGGTAAAGGATCAGACGACTCATCAATCTCCAACGTCCACGACACAGAGTCCCCCTTCTGCACCATAAACTTTATCATTGACGAAGACGTTGGATTCTTCTCTGGAGTGATTGAATGATCAATGTGCTCAGGGCCCAGAGACCTCGATAATCTATCAGGAGTTGCTAACTGATTCGCCAAAACACTTACAACTTCATTCTTCTGTCTCAATCTCCATTGGAGCTCCTCATTTCTCTGTGTGAGTCGTTTGTTGTGCTTGGAGACCTCGTGAAATGAACCCAGCAGAATTTCATTCTGATGGGATAGAGTTCGTTCGTAAGACTCTTTGCTCTGCAGTTGGGCCTTCAGATCTTCACACCTGGCTTCGAGGGATTCCACTTTTTGTTCAAGTGTATCTTTACCCTCGACGTCACGTCGTAGTATCTCAATCTCACTCCTCATTGAAGCGTTTTCCTGACTTCGTAGCTCTAAAACTGACCTTAAAGACCAAACTTCTGCATGGAGGCTTGAAGACTGATCACTACTAGTCTCTAAATTGATTAAATTGTTTGATTTTCTAGACTCTTCGAGCTCAGTCTCAAGGCTCTGAATTTTCAATTGCTTATCTTTCAGTTTTTTCATCAATAAATCATTCTCGTGTTTGAGCTTCCCGTTCACCCGTTGTTTCATTATTAAAATTGGCTTGATGCAGGATTTTAAAGACTCTAACTCTCGTTTAACAGAGTCATCTGCGAGGAATGGGGGTGACAATTCTTGGGAAGTCTCCTGGACATTTTCCTTGGCCAACTTCTGCTCGAGCTCTAACAAGTGCTCCGATCTGAGTTGTTCGAGGGCGATCTCGTGCTGCTTTATTAATTCGTTGAGAGAGGCTTTCAAACGCGCTTCGAAGGCAACTCGCTCTTGATGCAGGGCATTCTCGAGGATGGAGATTCGTTCAGTGTATTTGGTTTCTAAGTCTACTCGAAGATTGTTCAGGGCTTTTAAATGATTTTCACGCTCTAAGGTGAGCGTCTCCTGTAGAGTTGTTTTTGCTGCGCTGGAGTCACACAGCGATTGTTGTACTTTGTTTGAATACTCCTCGTTCTGAAAAGATGCAAATGATATTAGGAATTTTCTTCGATACGAATCGATGAGTTGATGAATTGGACAGTGTATATTATTGTAAAAAGGCTTACAAAAAAATGTCAAGAGATAAATTCACTTCAGTTCAATTCAATTTCTTTTTACCACTTTCTATAGAGAAAGACCTTTTGAAGAAAATTTTCTTGTGTACGTAAAAGATACAGTCTCTATGTTGACTATTAAAGTTTTTATATAATTGTCCAAACCAAATTCGTGGATTATTTGATGGGGGAACTTTAGAGCCATTGGTCAACACTGTTCTAGGACATCTTTTGAAGTACAAAAATATTCTCCGACATTGTCCTCTTGAGGACAGTGTGAATCAATGAATAAACTGAAAAGATAAACAACTCACTTGTCTCACTAAATACTGAATGGTCAAACAGAGAGCATCAAGAGCATTCTCCGTTCTTTTAATCCTAAATGACTCATCCACACAATTAGTCTGGGTCGCCTGTTGACGAGTATCAATAGAAATCCTCGCTGAAGTAGGTGTACTGGAATTAGATTCTCTCCTCACTGAATCTGAAATCAACAGTACCGGCGCCATCACTATTCCACTCTCAAAAGTCTCCTCAACGCAGGAATTATTGACAACACAAGTGAACTTAACGAATGCGTCGTCCTGCACGTCGACTCGATGACTGGTAAACAGTCAAGGTACTCGATACTTTCGTACCTAACGGTCCTTTGGCTATTGGCCAATCGTAGTGACAGTATACCTGGCGAATCGCCCGTAGGCACCCTAGGCGTACGCTATTTAATGAGGGGGAGGTATAGCGCAGTGACAATCGAAACGGCATTATTTCCAGTTGCCCTTTTGACAGATGCAGGTAAGAGATGCAGAGAATAATCAACAGATTGATCTCATGAATAATGACAAACAACCTGGGGTCGACGTAGTAATCAACACATTGAGCACAATGGAACTTTTCACATTTTTCTGGAGAGAATTAAATTGTTCTACGTCTGTTGTGCGAATGGGTAGAAATTCATTTAACATGCAACTGTCATCTACGCTTATATTAGTACATGGGATTTAACAACCGGACGTGCCAATTCTCAGCGGACCGTCTGCCCTCCGCAGTATTATGTATTTAATCAAGGTCATCAAATTTTCTATTTTCATCAGCATAAATTTGCGACGATGAATTCAAAGTAAATTGTCAGCGAAATTGATTCATATTTTTTATTTACTAACGGATGTGGTTCAATGATGTGTGTAATTCACTGTAACACTTCACTAAATTACTTCAGAGACCACGTTCGAGTTTATAGTTTGGAATCAAGTTTAAGGCAAAAAGTAGGGCATGTTATCTACCAATCGACAAAGGAATTTGAGGGCATTATTAAATGATCAAGATATGACGACACGTTGTGTTTCAGACATTTCAAGATCGTCCTAACACGACGCATACACCTCGACTGAATTAGCTCGAAGCACACGTCGTTCGCGCAGTTATTTCCCCACCACTCTTTTGTTCAGTCAAAAACAGTTGCTGATGTTCATTAGTAACAGGTTTCTTCCATCAGAAAAATTCCCCGATGATAAACTTCTCATAATGTTAGAAATGAGAAATTAATAAATTTCTACTGTTTTTTTAATATATGATTTTTTCATCTAGTTTTCTTCTCACAAATCAACAAATCACAGGGGAAATTTTTTTGATTTGCATCATAAAAGGAAAAGCATGAAGGCATTTGCAGATTATTTTGTGAATGAATGTCGGAGTGAAAATGCTCTCAGAGAAGTTTATTGAGCAATTATTTTTCCCGGAAAAGTATAGGGAATTGAAAATTTTTCCGTCTTCGTTGGGGGATTCTATTGATTATTTTTCCCAATCGGATTGTTGACCAATTAGAGTGGAGTATTTGAGGGTACCTGACAGTGTTATTTCAGATATTTCCTGCTAGCTTTTGAAAATTTCACAGTAGCTCTTCATTTTTTGACTCATTTCAGAACGAATCTTGTACTTGACAGTCTGCGGAAATCCGGTTATTTTATTAACATAATTTGTTCAAATCTTCCCTAATTTACCTCCTGATGTTGTCTACTGCACTCTGATTGGGAAAAATAATCCAACAGATACCCCTCGAGCTTCAAAATTAATCGGGTATTTTTCGTAACCTCTCCTGCAAATCAATGATCGCGCAAGCGCTCGGGAAATACCCGATAATTTTGAAGCTCTTGTCAATTTTATAATCTTTATAATCGACTCCCACTGTTAAAGAAAAAATCCTAATTAAGAGAGATTAAGGCCTTTTTTTCTATATTATCTACCTCTTAATAAACGAAACATGCCGATTGAAAGGGATAAAGGCCCGTAAAACCTGGAAGTTGGACGCCCTCAAAAAACATAGAACAGAATATTTTGAAGCTCTTGGGGTATTACTACTGATCATTTCCTTCGTACTAATTTCGATCAGTCAGAGTGCAATATTCGGGGTCAGTTCGTGACACTGTCACATCTATCTCATTTTTATTATATATATCCCCCGGTGGAGTTTCGGCCAATAGGAGGGCGGAATTTAATGTAACGTGATACATGCTACACGGTTTTAAATGGTTGAAATTCGATAAAAACATGGCACGTCACTATGGAATAATAAACAACATGAAAGGCGAAAGGGTAGGCTGCATGTACTAGAGATTGAACTAAAATACCATCCATCATTGAACGAAATTTCGATGGCAGAGAGATAATCCTCCGAATACCCTTTCGGCTTCAAAATAAATCGGGTATTTCCCCCATACTTCTCTGTGAACAATCGTGTCAAGCAAACCAAATGTAGACCTAGGATAAACACGTCACTTTCTGAACGGGGTTTAGTTTCTGAACGATTTCAACTTGCATTGAATACTCCGTAAATAAAATGAAAATTGTACTGATTATTTCACCTTTTAATAATATTACTCGTGTATAATAATGTCACCAATTATTTGTTCTATTGATCGACATTTCATTAATAAAAAAAATATAGCCCAGTCGTGCAGAAATTAGGGGTTTCGGCCGCGTTCAACTATTTCTTAATCTAATTACTCTTAGTTTTGATATTTTCACTTCAAACAATTTTTTTCTGCTCATTAAAACATTCTTGAAGGTATGAAAGCTATCATATCGCCATTTAGGTGATTCTTTTATTTTAGATCCTGCCACGAAATTCGAATTTTCCTTAACCGTCCAGCAATTGGCCTATTCACCATACTTCGAAATTTTCAAAAGCAAATTCTCTGCATCTGCGAGAGTGTTGGAGAAAAGTCGCAGTAACTTGTCATGTTTGAAATTCCCGAAATGAAGCAGTCTGATACACTCGATCACTGCACTCTGATAAGCCGAAATCCGAGAGAAAGGAATACTCAATAAATGGGGAAAAACAAATAGCATTTATAATCAAATTCTCTAGGGAATGTGGGTGGATTTTCGATTGCATTTCTTTCTACGTCCGAACCTAACATTGTTTAAGCCAATTAAAGGAATATTTTCAAAGTAATGTGCGCAAAGATTTCCAATTTGTCTCATATTATATCACTTTCCTTCATAAATTATTCCAGTAATGGATAATGTTAAAAGCAATCTATTGCAGAAGATTATGTTGTCCATAAAAAGGTGTTATTATAATTTTCCTTAGAATTGCTCAGTTTTTCAATAGTAAGTTGTAAATTAATTATTAGAAATATTGATTAAGGGGGGACTACTACGAGTTTGGAAAGTCGCCGACCATTGAAATGAGATTTCTCACGCATTGAAAATCGATTATATATGTCTAAAAATGAATAATTAGCGTAAAAAAATTAATTATTCATTGTTCGTTTGCCCCGCAGACGCTTAAAATGTTCAAAATAGTCCAGCGTCTCCAATTTTTGAGCTACAAAGTTTTTTTTTTCAAAATTTTTTAAAAAATGTGGACAATAACAATTACGAATTATTTTTTTGAAATTCGACTCCTACACAGTTAATTTTGTTTTGTTTTATATAAAAATTTGAGTCATTCATGTAAAATAGTCACAAAAATTATCCTCAAAATATTTAATATTTTCGATTCTTTCAGAATCATTTTTCGGGCCTTTTTACTTGAATGGTGCAATTTTTTATTTGAAAAATAACGACATTTGCTGTGTAGGAGTTGAATTTCAAAAAAACTAATTCGTAATTGTTAAATTGGAGGTTCTGGACAATTTTTAACATTTTAAGCGTTTGCGCGGTAAACGAACAATAAACAATGTTTTTTGCACTTATTATTCGTTTTTAAACATACATAATCAATCTTCAATGTATGAGAAATCTCATTCCAATAGCCCGTGACTTTCAAAACTCATAGTAGTCTCCCATTGAATATGTCAATTCAATTTCCCAACAGTGACAAATCAGAGTTGCAAACATTTTTGATTTTTTTCTTTTTCTCTCTAATGAGTTTACCTTTTGTGGCGGATGCGGGTGTTGATGCAACTTGTTTCAGAGAGTGAACAATTCCATTGTTTGGCGTTGAACGTCGTGACAATGTCGACTTGCGAATCGGTGCCGGGCTCTTTTCTGTTACATCGAAGTAATTGAATTTTATGAATAGAGAGAATTGTGGGTCGAGAATAATGTCAAGATATTTAGCTGACTGCTGGTTTACCCAGATTGAGCGGCGATAAGTCAAGTGTACCGGCCTTTTTGGCATCGTTACTGGGGGCGCGAGACTTGAGACTCGCCCGACCATTGACGGTTCTTCGTTGCTGCGTCGCTGCTGTTATGGATCGTTCTGTAAAATTATAAATTATCTTTGGTAATTTTTATAGAGAGAACAAACGACTGGATTAAATGAGGATTGTTTTATAGATGACTTTGAGCTGTTAGGATCGGTTGGAGGGCCCCTTCAGTTCTGAGCAAAATATTCGATTGCAATGGCCAAGTTCAACAGCAGTTCATTTGTATATTTGTGTATTTGACGATATTTTCAGCCAAAGAAATACTCTGGAAATAACATGGTGCATTTTGTTTACCAATTGCAATTTTTTTTCTATTTACAGGACAGTAATCAATGAAACTCAAGTTACAAAAATTTTGGCATCATCTTGAATGCTGAAATCATTCCATTCTAATGGGGGTGAACTGCCCAGTGTTCGAACGAAGAAAACTCGTCAAATACCAATGATCGAACGACCAAGATTCAATGATATGAGAAATTTTCACCAGGTCTCATTGAATTCATGAATATTATTCATTATTCATATTGGTTTTTAAAAAGGACAAAAGTCCGATTTCACTGCATTGAACATTTGTTCTACGATAAATATATAAATTAGTTCAATCACTAGACGAGTTCGAACACTGGTGCGTTTACCCTACACTGAGAGAAAAACAAACACGTTCTGAAACAAGTCTTGTTTGGGCCAACAAAATTGCTAGTTAAAAATTGCCAAAAAAGAATTTGTTTAGTTCGAATTTGAAAGTCTCAAACATGAATAATTGCTCTGCTTTCGACCGCAACCAAATATTTGGCTCCAGAGACGGATAATTCACATCAGATGGTGCCTTTTCAGGATAAAACCATTCCACATAGAGAAAAATTCATCAACAAATATTTTGTCCCTAAGTTACAAGAGTGCTATCATATAATCATGATTGTGTCATTTAAGGGTTCATTTCTTATCTGTGATTATTAGATATCCGAAATCAAAACCTACTATCTCCTCTTTCGCATAAAACAAACATTTTTCGGAAGCAAAATACGTATGGGAGTATCGAGTAACGAACGAGTAGTGCTAGAAATTACATTTCTTGCGTGTACAGAGAATGCAATTTTTTTTGAACTACTAGATCTATTTTTGCGATAAAAATTTGTCACCTCGGCGCACTCTCTGCATGTTTGGCGCAAAAAAAATACTTTTTTGATAATTTTCGAAAAACTATTTTCTTGGCACAAGTAAGACTTGTTCGAGAACTTTGTTGTTTTTCTCTCAGTGTAATAAGTTCCTCATTCATTCATCAAACAGTGTATTTCCATATGAGTGCGGAAAAGTGTTTTTTAACAGGTAGGAGGCTTTATCCCCAATATTGGAAGACTTTTTGACAATCACGAATTCCCGGAAACTTATTCCCAAACTTTCTCATATATTTTGGATAGAAAAGAATCCATTACCTCCGTAAGTACCTCGTTTGAAGCTTCCAAATCCTATTTTCGATTCCCTTACTAGGTCAGCGCGAACCGGCGCAGCCCTGCCCTTGGAGCCCTGCTGCCCCATGATGACAGCCCCCAACACAACCACAGCAATAATCACAATGAAAATTACCGTAATTTTGCCTCTCAATTGTATAACAAACTAACGAACGATAAATCCAATTACTCCGCCTGTAATGAGCCAAACTGAGAGAACCCTGTCTAAACGATAGCCATCGCCTTGACCATGAAAGCCTGCACTGAGCCAATGCCCGTAGTTTCATCGATGCCTACATCGTACATTTTTGCCCTTGGTGACTATTCCGAGACGAAATTCCACTACAGGTATTTGAGCGGCCAATCACCCTGCTGCCTCACAAATTAGTGAGGTAGCATGGCACGCTTTTACCCCCATTTCCCCTCCTAATCCACTACCGCAACACATCCATGAATTATTAAACACCCTCACGTACATCACGTACATTACTATGATAACTTGTAAATAATTATCATATTTTTTTGTTTCCACAGCCTCAGTTTAAGAAGATGAATCTACACGTCTGATTAGCACAATATGCTCAATCCTTGCGAGATTACAGAGTTATAGGTGAGTTGAAAGCCTCCAGAATGATTCTCTTCCCATCGACCTTGAATCAAACACGTGGCTGCCAGGTGCTACACCTGTCTGCCTTTTACATCGAGTGGATGTTATCCAAGTGGGGGGAACATTGCGAATAGCCAGGAGGCAAGGTAAGGCAACGGTAAAGGGTCTAGCGGTGAGAGCGACGCGGTTCCCGAGGCGGCCGAGGAGCCAACGGGATAGAACCTCGAGGAATACACAATGCCGGAAATAAACGGCTATATGCCGTTGACCCGCTGACGCGCGTCCAGAAGCTCTAGTTTTGCTCCACTCTTTTCACTGATTCATGTTGATATTTTCAGTATCCAAAACTGGAACACGTCTATTATTAATATCAAGACAAACGATTCGTAGGGACAATTTTTAGTCGAAATTTCATGTCACTGATCGTAGGATTGAGAGAAAATGAAATGCTAAGGAATCGATACGTTTGTGAATTCGTGAAGATTTCGATGAAGGAAATGGTGATTGACATGCACTTTGCTGTTGATTAAACCGGACGTACCACCGGGGGTGACCCGAATAGAAAACGCGGGGATACTGAACCTACGGAGATGCAGACAACTGAGAGGCAGTCAGGCAGCCTGGCGCATGCCGCTATGCGTGTTATATGTATACGTATATAAAAGTTTAACGAGTCGAGGGATTACGAGGGTCTCCGAACGAGGCCGAGAAATAACTTGAAAGTCCAAGCGAGTGGTTCATGTACACATCGACAAGGTATGAATACAGCTTTTCAGGGGGAATTATTAACGCGAAACGCCAGGGTGATCAGTTTTTTGACGTCTCTTTCGTTCAATTGAATTCATTCAATTGGAATTGATGAATCAATTAATCCAGTGATTAAGTTCAATTATACAGAACCAATGTATTAGCTAATTATTTTGCAAATGTCTTCAAAATGAAAAGATTCAGATAATTTAATCAAAAGTTTCTTTTCATAAATCTATCCCGAAATATTAATAAAATAATTAATATGAAGTTTTCAAACTTCATCTCTTTTATGATTTTATTATAGAAATTATGGTAGTGATGAAAACCGTTAGAAGGAATCATCAGAGGGCCTTTTCTATAGAAAAATTTTCTAGATACATGTTCTGTCAAAGCCACCCAGTTTTTAGATAATTATAATCACCTAGTGCATTATTAAGGTTACTTACTGGAGACTGTTTCCTTGCTGAGTCCACTACTCAGATCGCTCATTGAACTGCGGACGGAACTACGCGCAGTTTCTTGAATGGGGGAATTTATACCCTGACGCCCTCGGAATCGCCTGCAAAAAATATTTTTTTCTTCCATTAAAAAAATCTATTTAAAAAATTGTATTTTCATGATTTGAATCTATTTCTTTGTTGACCTTTTGTCTTTTGTGGCTTTCGCATTGTTGTTTGCATCACCTGGTGACCGTTTGGTAGAAGCAATTGTTCCCACTGATGGTGAAGATATTGGTTGAGTACTTGATGTGGGAACAGATGATGTAAGGCTTTCCATAAATCGGGACTTGACTTCCTTGCGTTGTGGCCTTAATCGTTGCTCCGATTTACCCGCTTCGATCTTACTCATCACTGCGTCCCAATGACCGTTTTTACGATTTCTTGTGGCGCGCCTTGTTTCTTTCAGTAAATCCTCCTTAGTTGTTGATTCAATCATCGCCTTTATCTTTGATTCTACATTCTTCTTTGGCATCTTGTATTTTTTTAAGGGAGAGGGTTCCACTTTTCCCTGGATTTTTGTGATACTACGATTGGTATCTACAGTCGTTTCTACATGAATGACTGTGACCTCGTGTCCACCTGAAGAGTTGGAATCACTCGTTGTATCCAGTGGATTTTTCGGAACCTGTTGAGAATTCATTGAGATTTAGAAATCACGAGAAAAACAATGGATATTTACTACAAGTAAAATTATTGCGAATAAAATAAAGAAGTTTTAAGTTAAACATGCCAATTTTGTTAACTTTGAATATATCCCGAAGATTGAGCAGTGATTGTAGTAAATAATGTCATTGAGAAAGCGCAATGAAAAAGATTTCTCTAAATGGAAGACGTAATTTGCAATGACTTTTAGATTTTTACATTTTATCAACCATTTATGAGACTTTTCGTATCATTAATAAATCCGTGATGAATGAAAATTCATTGAACGAGCCGTGACAATGCAGTAGCGCAGCGGTAAAACGGTTTAAGTTGACTCGGCTCTCATCTGAGTTTTTGAGGAATATCTCCGAATCTGACTGAGATAACGAAATTTTTGTAATGACCTTTTTGCTTCCGAATGGAAGCCGCCTTGTAATCATGATTTTTTTCGATTTCTTAATTTTCGGCGGAAATGCCTAGAAATGTCACGAAACGTGAAGAAATGATATTTTTAAAAAATGTCTGTATGTGTGTGCACATTTATGTCCGGTTGTCCAGAACTGTCCCTTTAGTTCGAGAACGATGAACGCAAAGACGCTGAAATTCTGGCTGCTGATTGGTACACGGAGAGAAATGCTCAGTAAAAATTACGGAACTCTCAGTTCGCTCATCGATTCGGAAAATTTAAGGGACGGTATCGTAATTTTTCACAGGCGCTTGAGATAAAAATTACGGAACGCTCTGGAAAATTTCCGTAACGGTTCCGTAAAATTTCCTACAATTATATTTCACTACAATTATATTTCATCGATTAGAAAAATATATCTTGAAATATTTATCCTCAGAATATCTATCTTATAAGCGAAATGGTCATCTTTTATCCACTACTCAAATGAATAATTTGAAAACAATATTTTGTGGCATTCAGAAATGATTTGAACTCCTATCTTTTGAACAAATCCTTGCATTTCTTAGATTAGGAAAGTCATTCTCACTCTAGTAACTAACTATAACTATTGATCTCAAAAGCTGTTGAATTACAAAATGCTTCTCTCTTCCTTGAATCGTTCGATAGGAGAAACGCGTTGATAAAAATTACCTGCAAAAAATCCATAATAACCGCGGGCATATCCGTCTTGAGAATGGGGGTCAACTGGACGTTCTGTGACACTTGCGTGTCAGCAGTATCTGCAGTATCCGGTGTATTGGCAGTATCCGGCGTTTGATCCCCGCTCACCTGCTCGTCCCCATTGAACCTTTCATCCTGTCGTTTATCAAGATCAGAATAAATCCCGCTGGAATCCATCTCCTCTCCCGCAAAACTTGGGCAGCGTCTCCGAGCGTCAGCGGGTGCGCAAAATAGAGTGCCATCAATGACTTGGGCCCGACGATCGCCTCGGCCCATATCTTCGTGGGCATCAGCATCGCTCTCTGTGAAAAAGTCTGAATCCGTCATTGGATCTTGCAGACGACAAGCCTGACAGGAAGCAGGTAGATTGCCAGATAAACTGCCAGGATTCACTCCAGGTGGATCCGGGCCTCGACTCGCAGGCCGAGAATTCTCACCGTCCCCTTGATAACCAGCCTCAAGACTCGTGATACTTGTAACAGAAGTGACAAAACTCATGGGGAGTGACGCCGCTGACGTCACCGATGTCACTGCAGACGCAACACTCGTTACGACAATTGAAGAAACCACTTGTTGATCGATATAAACCCCCTCGCCTAATTTCTCACTCTCCGGGGGTTTAGGATCGAGTGGAAGCTCTTCGAGCGATGGCGAACGCTCACAAAGCAAAACGTTTGCCTCTCGATTATCTCCAAATTGTATGTCTGTTGGCCTTGATCTTTGCGAAGAAGAAGTCGTTGTTGCTGCTGGCACGCCACGTGAACCGGTGAGATTCTCACACGAGGGCGTGCGAGAACATCCGAGGGCCACTGTAAAATCCGTCATCTGATCCGGCGTGAGAATCCCGAGGCTCTCGTCGTGCTCAAATGAATTTTGTTTGTTTAGAGAGAGATACTGGTGAGTTGACAAGCTACCGTTGATGTTAGTGGTATTGATATCGTTGAGAGTACCTCCGAGGGTTGTCTCCACTAAACAGCTGTTGCCAATATCCTCCAGCATAGTCAATTGGCCATGAAACGAGCCGAAAAGTTCATCCTCTTGGCGGTCAAACGAGACCTCCTGCTGGAGGGATTCACTCTTGAGATTCCAGATTGGTGACGCTGCATGTGGAATCCGTCCTAATTCTCCTGGGAAAGAACAATCAATTAAATGACAGTTAAATTCAACTTTCTTTTTTGATAACTTCAGTAGGAAGGAGTTTAGCGATATTTCGGTAATAGTTTACATTGAGAGAAAATCGTCTTGTCTTTAAACGACGTATTGTTCGAAAATGAGTCCTTGAATGATATATTTTATCTGACGATTCTGATCGACGATCTGACGATTTCTCAATGGAAGGAAGTAATGTGAGTGCAAAAACATCAACAATTGACACGAAAATCTTTCCTCCAATGTACATCTAACGCAAAACTAAGGTTTCTACTAGGCCAATAGTACTCAGAAACCTCTCAACATAATTACTGTGTATGATAAGTACAGCGGGATGCACTTATGTAGGAATAACAATCAAAAGAAAAAGCTGTAACGCATTAAGGATTAACGAAGATTCAACTTTTGGCAGGTTTTAATCAGATTGTTGGATTGCATACAGACAAACCTAGACGTGAATTACGTTTATAAAGACGTAAATTACATTTATCAAAGCGTAAAGTCCGTTTATCAAAAATACGAAAAAATCATCGTAATGGACGGCAACTTTGAGCGTAATTTACGAATACGAAATCGTAAATGACGTTTATGTAATCGTAATTTAAGACGATTTTGAGCGTAATTTACGATTGCGAAATCGTAAATTACATTTATAAAATCGTAATTTACGACGATTTGAAGCGTAATTTACGCTTCAACTTCAAGCGTAAAATCCGCTTTAGAAAGCGTAAAAGACGACTTTTTAAACGTGATTTACGTTTAGGTTTTCCTGTGTGTGTTCATCAAATATTTCCTGAAAAAAGATTAGACATCTTGGAGAAATATATCAATCGACTTTTCTTGTAAGCGATTTTCTAAACCAAAAAGACCATGTCAGGTATTTCTCACATTATCTGCATGATTTTTCCCGACTTATCATCGAGTTTCAATCATTCCAATAGATTTTGAGAAAATACAGGAATTTCACTATTATTTACCTCCACCAGGCGTAGAATACGCACAAGGCACCCCAGAAAATCTTCCCCTGGGTGTCTTCAACCCAATATCTTCATGAATGTCTGAAGGGAAGAAGCATCCTGACGCTAAAATTGTAGATCTCCTCGAATTTCCACCAATACTAGTCCCAGTATTCTTCAGAGGCGATATTATTTTAGGTTTTGGCAGAAATGATGGTCTTGACGCTCGTGAAACGGGAATTCTACTTTCACTAGCGTTCTGCAGACAAAAAAAAACAAAATTATTAAATAAATTAATTGGAATCGATTCAACTTGACTTCACTAACGAGTTTTTCAGTGAATAGGTGGTCATATCCAGTTGGCCTTGTATTTACACAACTCCATCGAGAGTAGGAACTCCACTAGATAGGAGTCAAGTCCAGGGCTTTCCCCATGTAGCAACGACCGATCGTCAGTACATTTTAACGCATTAATTTGTCGGTGGAAAGCGCGTGCGCGTCAGCCACCTAATTTTCTTACCCACTCCAATTGAGCCTCACTGTACGTACATAAAGATCGTCATTGTATGAAATAACGTGCAATGAGATTAAATCCCAAGACCTGGGGGGAATGCTGGCCCCATCATGATAGCAGATCTTTCGCATGATACTTCACAACATAACAGACATTATACTCAGACTCTGTGAATATATGCAGCAGCAAGGACACAGTACTATTTAATTCTTGCTGCTTATGTCATTAGCATCAGCGTCGATCTTCTTGAGACTCTTTGGTATTCTCTTTAAATATGTCAATTGGTTATTTATTTCCCCACGAACAAAGAAAAATATAATCACCGGTACGAAATAGCGTCATCATATTGAAGTCAATCAATCGTTATCTAATGATTCTAGCGGCGGCGATTAATTCCAAGACTGAATGACAAGTGGATCTCCCGCTTTTTCTGCTCCCTCTTTCTTTCTCTCGTTCTCTCTCTCTCTCTCTCTCTCTCTCTCTCTCTCTCTCTCTCTCACTCTCTCTCTCTCTCTCTCTCTCTCTCTCTCTGGTATAAATTAACACGAATTTCATTCAATTGCAGATGCGTAATTCGTGCTAATTCAATCCGCCTACCTAACGTTATTTCTTCGTAACTCCGTTACATTCTATCTCCTCACTTATACACATTGAAGTTCTGTAGTGAGCTGGAAAAGAGGCGATAAGTCAAGAATTTAAGGGCAGGTAAGGTTTGAGAGAATTCATCATAAGTTATTTCTTGTCACTTTTTTTTGTTAAAACAAACTTTTTTCTATATTCTCCACCGAATTCAGGCCGAGCCAAATTCACGTGATATAGTATATGTTGGGTTTAAAGACAATTACATGGGGAAATTCATTTTAAAAAAAGTTTCTTTCAGACAACGGTCTCTTAGAATTAATTACTCTCATGTTAAATACGTAACCGATTATATTCGTAAATTCAGTAGCGAAGCGGTAAACCGGGTTAAGTCGATTTTGACTTTTGATCAATTTTTAATGAATATCTCGGAATCTAATAGAGATAGCAAAATTTTTCTCATGACCTTTTTTATAACCCTCAATTGGCTTCCCAAAAAAGATCTTGACAAAAAATTTTGTACCTGTTTTAGACTCCGAGATATTCGTCAAAAACTGGCCAATAGTCCAAATCGAATATTTCTGTAATATCTGCGTAAGGGGAGACTACTATGAGTTTTACAATTCGTGGTTTCATTGAAGATCGAATATATACATATATAAAAACGAGTAATTAGTGCAAAAAAATTGTTTATTCTTCGTTTCCCCCATTTGAGCTACTAAGGTTTTTTTTTCAAATTTTTTGAAAAAATGTATGCAATAACAATTACGAATTATTTTTTTGAAATTCAACTCCTATACAGCTAATTTCGTTATTTTTTAAATAAAAAATTAGACCATTCATGTAAAATAGATCGAAAAATGTTTCTGAAAGAATCGAGAATATATTTCAAATATTTTAAGGATAATTTTTCCGCCTATTTTACATGAATGGCGCAAATGTTTATATTAAACAAAATGAAAATAGCTGTGTAGGGGTTGAATTTCGAAACACTAAAACGTAACTGTTATTGTACACATTTTTTCAAAAATTTTCAAAAAAACCCCTGTAGCTCAACAATTGGAGACCCTGGATTATTTTCAACATTTTAAGCGTCTTCGGGGTAAACGAACAACAAAGAATTAATTATTTGCACTAATTATTCGTTTTTAGTTCATCAGCGCACCAGAAATTTCACTTCAATAGCCCGCGATTTTGAAAATTCATAGTCTCTCCTTAATTGTCTTCTTACCCAAAATTCTCGTATTTGAACTAACTAGTTTCTGGCATATTTCAATTAATTTCTTACATTTCAAGTAGAATTTATTAATCATGGAAAGAACACGAAGAGAACTACGGTGTTCATCATCTTGCTTGCAACGGTCGTTTAACTCGCCCCGTTTAATTTATTTCAATAACGCAGAGAGACATCGAAAATGATTCAATCCATATTGTTTTATTACTGCAACGAATTTCTGTCCGGCTACGCTTAGTGAACAAGGCGCAACCACACCAGACCGATGATTATCCGTATGAAATGGTAAAATACACGGTTTTTGATTGGACTCATGTACCCGTAGATCCGCACATGCCGCGCATAAGTGTACGTGCTCTCTTCAGTATTATATTTCTCAAACTATGTAATTAAGCCTCATAAGGTTGATAAATACTTCGTAAAATCGAGGAAATGTTCATAAGCTTATGAAGCAATTTCTTTTACAATGGAATTCGTGACGCTTTCTCAGGAATTCCAATTCTTATTGTGTGCTGATATTCTCTATTATATTGATGCCACGCAATGGCGGTCTAGTCGCTTTAATACGCGTCAAGAGGTGCACACGGCTATGTATAAACTCTACTCTGTCCTATGTTTTACTTACGTATTTGCCACTTACCGACTTCAAGTGACGTATCTATTACGTATTTCCAATAATGTCATAATAACCACATTAAAACAGTTGTAACATTATGTTATTTCATATTAAGTTCAATCGATGAAACAATTGGAGAACAATAATAATGAGACCCTTTTACAATAAAAGAAAACTAGTGAAACTAATGACTACGTAAATGAATAAACAGTTTAACCAAAACGCTTGCCTTATGTAAGATCCTCTTTTCTTCATTATTCTGACTTTGTCAGTTGAACTTCGAATAGAATAAAGTAAAATTAAATAAACAACGTAGACTGAAAATATATTTAATTCACTTATTTACAGTATATCACTTCTGATATACTTTCTTGTTCACAGAAGAAGAAATATCGGAGCTAGTTGGTTTTTTATTTAGGTAAAAAAAAGGGGGGAAACGTTAACCGCGTGACCGATGCGCTACACCGCTCAGTACTGATTCCCACCGATTTTGTATTCTCTACATCAGTCGGTCTCTTGTCCAAGCGGCCACAAACTGAGGTCGGCCTTCGGTCACTACTGTACGCACCACGACAACTGAACGACTGCGGCTACGCTTGCAGTAACGTTTAAACGCGGCATGTGCGTTTTCTTCGGAGTTACTATTTGACATGTTAGATAGTGGATCCCCAACGCATATATACTGATTAACGTCGTTGTCGTTTTGAAATGCCAGCTAAAAAGTGGGTATGTGTATGGAGCCACGTTAATAGTACGTGCGTAACCGGTGCCACTGTACGGACACTTCCGCAATGCTCCATCGATTTTTTTTTGTCATCGTTTGCTTCTCGGGTCGAGTCTCTATGCACTGTGTCGTGTCAAAAACTGCAAGTTCCATTGACACATTTCAATTGTGTAGGAAAAATAATGAATCTTAGACAAAAATCCTGTTACATGTTCATTTATCTCGAGGACTCTCCCGGGGATGAGGAAATTTTCCATGAAAAAGGGCCGGTTTGTTCTTATTCCTTTCCCTGTAAAGGTCCGTTTTATAAACGGAGACTTTGGCAAATGGACCGTTTATTAAATTTGGGTTTTTCAGAATTAGGGGTTTTCACCTGCTTTTCCCTATACCACAGCTATTCCCACCTCAAACCTTATGTTTTCACCCAACCCATACTCTTAAAGGTTCATATGAGTAAAAGCCCGATGGCTGAAACCATGTAAAGTAGCCGTAAGTTAACAATGTACACTTTGCCGCCTTGTTGTATCATTGACGTTAATAAAAATCTTGAAAAGTTAAAGAACCGTTTGTTGAACGAAGTTAGAGTAAAAAGTCCATGAACAAACCGGCCCAAAAAACTTTCTCACTATTCCTTCTATATTATTATTCTTTACAAAGATAACTCAATCCACAAAATAATATACATTTTTATTTATTCATAATGCACTCTTGTGGCACAGCCACAGTACATGGGGGGGGGGGGGGGGAAA